GAGGGATCACCCCGCCAGGAACACCATCACGGCCATCAGCGACATCGCCGAGGGCGAGGCCCTGCTTTTGAAGGAACTAGGACCTCAAGGGTTTAGGGTTTAGGGTTTAGGGTTTAGGGTTTAGGGTTTAGGGTTTGATTCGAGAAGTCGACCCCACACGCTAGGGGTGGCAGGGTGAGCAGCCAGACAGATAGCAGGTCATGGGCCGGTCCGAGCCTTGTTCCATAAAACCGCAGGCCCGCGAGCTAGAATGCCTTTTTTCTACTATTTGCTGAAGAACCCCAAAAGAAAAAAACAAGTTATTATCCCAAAATCACCCTTAAGAAGGAACATTTTTTTTTTTAGTTTTGGGGGGTTGTTAAGCAATTAGTGGTTTTGGATTGCCAGGAGCTCAACATCTCGTACCTGCCCCTCCGCCTGGGCCTCCCGGTGGAGGCCGCGCCGCTGCAGGGCCTTATAGAGAGTTTCACGGGCGGCGCACGACCTAAAGGGGCATATTGAGCCGCCGCAACAAACTTGACGCCTGACACCCTGCCTCGGAACCCACGAACTGTCTGTCACACCAGAAGGAAACCATATATATATATGTGTATATATATATATATATATATGGTCTCGGGCTCCGAGGCCCTACCCTGACCCCCCAACCACACCCACACCACCGGGGGGGGGGGGGGCGCGGACCTTAAACCCCAAACCCGAACCCCAACCACGCCCGCACCACAGGGGGGAGGGGGGGCGCGGGGGTATTAAACCTTAAACCCTTTAACCCTTAAACCCTGACACCCCAAACCCTGAAGCCCCAACCACACCCACACCACAGGGGGGGGGCGCGGCGCGGGGTTATTAAACCTTAAACCCTGAAGCCCCAACCACCCACACCACAGGCGGGACGCGGGGGTATTAAACCTTAAACCCTAACCCCCCAACCACACCCACACCACAGGAGGGGCGCGGGGTTATTAAACCTTGAACCCTCAACCCACAACCACACCCCACAGGGGGGGCGCAGGGGTGGGCCCTAACAACCCTCAAACCTTAAACCCTAACCCCCCAACAACACCCACACCGCAGGGGGAAGGGGGGGGGGGGGGGGGGGGGGGGGGGGGTAGGGATACAAGGGAGGGGGGGGGGGGCGGAGGATACCATGGGGGTGGGGGGGGTGGGGGGTGGGCGTGGCAGCCCTGGACCCATATATATATATATATATATATATATATTTTTTTTTTTTGTGTGTGTGTGTGATTTGTATGTATTCCTAACTAGGTCAGAATGACACACGAGAATTATATTTGCAAGATTGGTGAGGAAGCCCTAAATCCTAAACCCTAAACCCTAAACTCCAAACTCCTTAAACCCTAAACCCAAAACTTCTGGGAAGCCAGGAGCGACGGCGGCAACTCCTGGATCATTGGGCGCGCGCCCAGGGGGGTCGAAAGATGTACGGCCTTTTGGGGTTTTCTTGGGGGGCTCGGAGGGTTAAAGGGAGCTTTTGGGTTTAGGGTTTCGGGTTTAGGGCTCAGGGTTCAGGGTTGAGGGTCGAGGGTTCAGGGTTCGCGGTTGAGGGTTCAGGGCCTGTTATGGCCACACTCCGTACTCTGGGTTCCTTTGGGGGAATCTCGGACAGTCGCTTCGAGCCCTGAGCATCCCAAGCCAAAGAGAACCAACATAGCACCACAACGTTTAGGGTTTGGGGTTTGGGGTTTAGGGTTGTTCATGACAACAGCTACAAAGCGCAGGTGGCTCACCTTCCGACATAGTTTCCAAGCGAGGTTCAGGGTTTAGTGGATGGCAGGACTTCCCACTTGCTGCAATCAGGAGTTCACTTGCCGCTGCCCCCGCTGTGAAGCTGAGGCTGTTGGGGGGGGGGGGGGGACCTGGGCTACGCTGAGCTGTTGGTGAGGACTTGTGGAGGGGATTGTTCAGCGATACACAGAATAGAATTGAGGGTTCTTGTGTTCCTCTTGCCCCTCCCCCAGATGTACTGAGTCTTACAGAGCGATGCCAAACATTTAAGCCCTAAGCCCATCTTGTTTGTGTTGGCCTGCGTGCGCGCGTGGGGGTTCCTAAGGGGCTAAGGAGGATCCTAATCCCGGCTCCTGGGTTTGTGCAACCCTAAACCCTAAACCCTAAACCCTAAACCCTAAACCCTAAACCCTAAACCCTAAACTGGAAGAGGTACTCTTCGCACATGTCGAGCCTTTTCTAAGCAACCCTAAACCCCAAACCCCACACCCCAAACTCCGAACCCCGAACCCTAAAACCTAAACCCACCTTACATCGTGCTTAGCAGGCGATCCCTTGGAACTTAGCCACAAGCTCGCCCGGACCCTCTTGCGCAAAGCCGCAGCCCTCGCGCGGCAGGGCGGTCCACCGAAGGCACCCGAGCCCAGGCGCCTTCTTGCGGCTCAGGGTCATTTTGGGTTTAGGATTTGGGGTTTAGGGTTTGGGGTTAAGGGTTTAGGGCTTGGGGTTTAGGGTTTTAGGGTTTAGGGTTTTAGGGTTTTGGGTTTGGGGTTCGGGGTTTGGGCCTTCAGGTTTAAAGGGCGAGGGCAAGAAGCAGACGCAGCTCGCAACACAAAGATGGCCCCAGCTCTTGTTGCTCTGAGACCTTCTTACACACTTAAGCTTGATTACTGCTTGCTTAAGAGACCCCCAAAGAAAAAACTTATTCTTCCTCATAAATAAGAGTAACATAGGGAGCACAGTCTATCATTTTTGGGGGTTCTACAGCAAATAGTGCCTGATGAGTCGATTCTTCGGGGTTTTCTTGGTAGCGCAGTGGTACCCTTTGCCCTTTTTTTGGTTCTGGGTTCCCTATATTAAGTAACCAACACAAGAAAGGGTTGGTCTTTGCTGCATGTACTTGGAAGCCTTCAAACCTGCTGGTTCTCAATGCTGCTTCGTGGTTCTTAGTGGAAAACTGGGGATTAGGCTAGAGGGATACCTACAGAGAGAATAGCAAGGTACCCATACTTCCCCAATCCACAATCCGGACCTAAGAACTACGAAGTCAACCACCAAACCCTAAACCTACAACCTAACACCCTACACCCTGAACCCTAAACCCTAAAACCCTAAACCCTAAGCCTTAAGCCCTAAACCCTAAACCCTAAAACCAACTGACCCCGCAGGCCGACCCCGGTCCAAGTTGCAACGCCGCCCTTGCACGAGGCGATGGGGTGTTTTGTTTAAACCTTAAGAACTCCAAAGACACCAGGGTTTAGAGTTTAGGGTTCAAGGTTTAGGTTTTTAGGGTTTAGGGTTTAGAGTTTAGGGTTTTGAACTCGTACCTTGCTTGTTGTAGGGTACCTAAGAATCCTGCAAGGGGTTCACTAGTAGTAACCTACACAAAAGAAGGCTTTGGGTTCTTGAAAAGGCTGCCAAGCGGCTTGTCTGCATGAGCGCCGGCGCTTCAGCACAACCTTGGGGCGCCAAATGATCTCAACAAAAAATGGTGCAATACACCCTACACGACCATAATCCTGTTTACGGTATCTGAACCCTAAACCTTTTAGGGCTCATTTTTGGTCCTTAAGGTTGCAAAAAGCCCTGAAAACCCCCTACTAAGCTCTGAAGAAGCTCAGTGGCTTGACGGTGTCCACATCCTCTGTGCTGTGCCTGGCACCAACATAACCAGGCCCCGGCCTATAGGTTTAGGGTTTAGGGTTTAGGGTTTAGGGTTAGGGTTTGGGGTTTATGGTTTAGGGTTTAGGGTTTAGGGTTTGGGGTTTGGGGGTTTAGGGTTTAGGGGACCCACCAGACACGTCTATCGCCTGTAATGTAACGCAACGTTACCTTTGTAACATCCTGAACCCTAAGCCCTGAACCCTAAACCCTTCTAGCCCGAAACCCTAAACCCTTAACCCTTAAACCACCCTGAACCCTAGAACTCCCTTGGAGGCCTCCGCTGCAGACGACGGCGACTCCTCGTCCCAAGGCTGCGGTTTCGACGACCTAAGCTGCTTGGCTTGCTGCGCAAAGGTGGGACGGGTAACTCTTGCACGCTATTGCTGCGAACCTTAAGGACCGTATGAACCCTAAGAAGTTTAGGGTTTATATGCCCTATGACCCCAATTTTCGGGGGTTCATTTCGTCCCTAAGGAACAAGTAGAGCCCTTACGGCCAGGCTCGAAGTTTTTCGCCGCCTGTCGTCATGCAGAACTCCGATTCGATTAAACCCGAAACCCTAAACCCTAAACCCCCGCCAAGGAGATCCAGACGACCCTCAGTGAGAGTTGCTGGTTGCTGCAGAGGGTACTATGGCGAGTCCTGAGGTTTGGGCGATATGGGCCTTCTCGCGTATAGCATTTACATGTTTCCCAGGAGACTGCAACGACAGTTTCCCTTACTGTCCTCAAGTAGGAGAAGGCCAAGCACAGGCATATTACAAGGGCAGGACGCGGAAGCTGGCCAGGTGTCCAAGTTTCAGGATACCTGTCAAGGAACGTGGCAGCACAGGCTGCCGGAGCAAGATGAAGGGCGCGTGGCATGGGACGTATCGTTGGGATGTCGCTTCACAAAGTCTGGATAGATCCTCCCAGCCCCCCCTCCCCCCCCACAAGGGGTTGAGGTGTTGGGCACCCTAACAACCCGAGGAACCCAGCACATCCTGCAGAGCCCTCGCGCCTTCGCTGCTCTTTCACCAGTCACCCTGTGCGCGCGCGCTGTGCGGCTCTTAAAAGATGCCCGGGTGCCAGCGCGCCCATGAACTTTTGGGGGTTGGAACAGATTTTCGAGTTCGAGGGGCCCCTAAACACCCTAAACCCTAAGCCGTAGACATGCAATTTTGTAGAGGGCTGCTGCTGTGGGCTCCACGCTTCGGAGTTTCCTTCAGCCAGTCTCCGACGCTAAAAGCTAAACCGGGAAGCCCCTCAAAAATCTTCGCCGGTTCTTGCATCGGGGCTAGGTGGAGCAGGGGTTGGGGTGTGTAGGTGGTTGACGCCTGGCCTCTCCTCCCCTCAACACTAACCCCTGAAGCCATTGATGTGAGTGCTGAGGGTGGCAAGTGGCCTTTGTGGCTCTCACCACGACAGTGCCTGATCTGCACAGAATGCTAGGTAGGCCTTTGGGACTCTTTAAAAAAATTCAGTTATTGGGTTTAAGAGGATCATATTCAGGAATATTTTTTCAACAGGGTTTGGGTTTTAAGGGCCATCCTAGAATTTCGAGAGCCCACGAAGCTCAAGGGTTGTGGTTCTTGCGCTCAGGCCCAAGAACTCCGCCGTAGAAGCTCACAGTTTGAGCCCTCAAAAAAAGTTCCATGTTGAGCTCAGGGAAGAAATCCCTAAACTCTGAGCCCTAAACCCATTGTCTTACTGGATGGTAGCCCATCCAAGTGGCCAAGTGTATCCCTGAACCCTACAATCTAAACCCCAAAACAGATTTATTTGACGTGAGCAGCTTTTCTTGAACCTGCAAATTCGCAGAAACTTCAAAAGAAACCTACAAGTAGTATTCTATTATGGCCCGTATATAAGTAAACAAGAATACCCCCCAACAAAAACCCTGTTATCCTCCCCAAGACCCCGGTATTACACTTCACCCTCAAAACTGTGCCTGGCCAGTGGATTCGAGGGTCCCTCAGGTTTGGAGACTGTTGAAGGCTCCAAAAGCAAGTCCGTCAAATGGGGGTTTCCGAAAATAGGGGTGCCCTTTTTTAGGGTTTTCCCTTTAAGGGAGATTCTAGTCTAATTGGCTTTGGCAAATATCCATCTGCGTTTCCCAAAGCCAAGGTGCATGGTCGTGCCCGTCTCCGACGACGCCTTCGAGCGACCCGGATTCTCGATATTATGGGTGCCCCCTTTCTACCCTTTTTGGGATCCGTGGTTCCCTCACTTCAAAGTAGCCCTAAACCCTAAACCCTAAAACCCTAAACCCTAAAACCCTAAAACCCTAACCCCAAGCCCTGAACCCCCGATGAAAGAACTGCCCGCTGAAGGTATGCGACCTACGTCAAAGAGGCACTGCATTCGCGCGGCTTCCACGCCCTTCGGCTGAGCAGCTCTCTTGCTGGCCTTTATGGTAACATATACATATGGGATAGTGTATATACATACACACACAGGTGCGGACACATACGTCTGGGTTTGCGCGTTAGATCTACACTGCAAACCTGCCGCCATGCAACAATCGAGGCTCTAGATATGCTGTCCACGATCCTTCAGAGGAGACCCCGAAAGGGCCTCTTAGAGAGAAGGGTTTAGGATTGCGATGCTCCCCCTTTTGTGAACAGTCCTTGGGATTTTCGTACCCCCTATGATAATCCCTATGAAAGACTATGGGTATAAGGAGGAACATCCCAAGTTTAGGAGATGTAGGCTTCAAAGGTACCTTTTGAACCCTCCACTCAACTTGGCGCCTGCCAACCCAAGTACTCTTCGCGACCTGACTTGCCAATCCCTGAACTGGGGACTCGGACTCTACAGGCTCCGGACCACCCCTAGGACCCGGAGTAGGCCTTTTTTCCTCTTTTTTTCGGGTTCGGGTCCCTTCTAATCACCCTTAAACCAAAAAGGGTACTCTGTTTATTCCTAGCTTGCTCCGAGAATCCAAAAAGTAGAAGCCCCAAATAGTGCCCCTGTACTACCATTGCTTTGTGACGTGGAGATCCGTAGGACACCTTTTCAACAAACCCAGACCTGCTGCCAAGACGTTTATCAGTTGAGGTGGTTATCACAAAAAGAACCCTCTAGCCTCTGGGGTTCTTAGCTCCCCCCAAGAAAGAGAGTCGGCCTGGGGTTCTTAAACCCCCTCTAGCCTCTAGGGTTCTTAGGTAACCTCAATAAGAGTCGGCCTTCGGTTCACACGTTTCCTGTGGTTGGAGTACCGTTGTCAGGTCGAAGTCAACTTGGGCCTGGAGCCTAAGACTTGCGACAGCGCGACCTCGGGATTAGGAGATCTTCAGGGTTTAGGGTTTAGGGTTTGGGGTTTAGGGTTTAGGGTTTAGGGTTCAGGGTTTAGGGTTTGGGGTTTAGGGTTTAGGGATGCTGCGGGGTGTCAGGTGACCCTCTATGAGCTTCCTGAAGCACTCCTGTGTTTCTTGCTTCGACTCTTGTACCCCAGCTGCGGGATGGACTCCTATCGGGCTGCATACGAGGCTGCAGGACCCCATAGTTTTAGGGTTTAGGGTTTAGGGTTTAGGGTTTAGGGTTTAGGTTTAGGGTTTAGGGTTTAGGGTTTAGGGTTTAGGGTTTAGGGAATTCGGAACGTGAACCCTTATAATGAAGCAACACATCGCATAGCTGAAGCATTGAAACGAAAAGTCCTAGATTAACAGCCGTCTACACATCACGGGACACGACGCAGCTTCTGTGCTGACTACAGTTCTTCTCCACAAGTCGCCGCCCATGACCCGTCCCATGACTCACTTGCTTAGCTTGTTGGCGGCTGAAGGGGGTTTAAGGTTTAGGGTTTAGGGTTTAGGGTTTAGGGTGGAGGGGAAGGAGTAGCAATCGGGTGCTTTGCGGCCCACTGTCCGAAGTGGCTTTGGTTACTTGGTGTGAGCTCTTAGATCATCCCTTGACTGTTTCTCCGTGCCGGTTGTGGCACCAGACCAGAGACCACGAGCATGCAGTATGTACTCAACCCGAAATCCTAAACCCTAAGACTCTTGTGGAGAACCTTGAACTCAGCCCCGGAACCATGTTTCCCTAGCGCAGAAGGGTCCAGTTTCTGTTGCAGAGGTGACGACAGACTGAACAAGAAAGTGCGCGATGCGCAGGCATGGGTAGGTTTGCACGTTCTGTAGTCCTTCAAGGGGGGGTTTCCGAAAATAGGTGTACCCTGTTTGGGGGGTTCCTTTAAGGGGATTCTTGTTTATTTGGGGTATCAAGGGGGTACCCCTATTTTGGGAAATACCCACGTAGATTTCAGGGCCTGACATCTTGGTTTATGGCAGAGGCAACCCTCGTGTTTTGTAAGTTGCATGATTCGTTGCCTTGTGCTGCAAGCATCGAAACGAGCCCAACACCGAGCCACCCCCCGCTAAGGCCTACTACTAGGGTTTAGGGTTTAGGGTTTAGGGTTTAGGGTTTAGGGTTTAGGGTTGCTGCACTGTCAGGTTGGTGTTGTAGCTTTGTGTGGCAGGTGGCCCAGTTCAACTACATCCTCGTTGTGGGCCGGCGCCTTTCTTTCGCCTCTGCAAGAAGTCCCCAGAGTCCCCGACAACTGTGATCCTAAACCCTAAACCCGAAACCCTAAACCCTAAACCCTAAAAATCTGAGCTTCGCGGTTTCAGGGGCTGCGTATGACGAGAGCTTTTCGATCCCGGAACCCTTGGCCGGCGAGTCCGAAGTGCGCATAATATAGGGGTTGGGATCATTACTAGTATTCCCATATGATCCCTTTATAGTTATACCAGAATAGCCCCGAAACCCTATGCCAATTTGTTAAGGCCCCTAAAGCACGTCGGCTCCAAAGTGGAACAAGGCATCTATCTGAGGCCCCAGCATGCCTAAGAGTTAAGCATAGACCTGAGTATCCCGGGCTTGTAGGGATTATAGCAGCATAGGGTCTATGATCCCAACGCCAGGGTTCTAGAAGGTGTCCTTCGGACTTCAGGGCCCTAAACTCTAAACCCTAACCTCTGTAGCTTTCGCGGCTTGCACTTTCGACTTGACAGCCTAAGCGTGCAAGCAGACTATAGAGGATCGGAGAGCATGTCAAGAGTGTATAGGGTTCAGAGTTCAGAGTTGAGGGTTTTTGAATTTCTCACGATCCAAAGGTCAGAACGAGGAGGAAGAAACAGCCGTGAACATTCGCGCGAGGGGTGTGCCGCGGCCTTTGTCACAGGGCTGTGCAAACTTAGCTTGAAAGCTTGGAGCGTAGGGGAGGGGGGCGCAATCTCAGTCTTCTTCATGCAGGCCCTTCTACCGATACTTTGTCAGGATGCATGAAATCTACAAAACACGTCCCAAGCAAACCCGACGAAAGGCCAAAGCCGCCTACCAAGGGGTCCAGGGTTTCGAGTTTATAGGGTTCCCCTTCTACCCCCCTCCCACCCCACCACTACCTCCCCCCCTACTACCCCCCTACCCCCCACTACCCCCCCTCTTGAAATTCTTCGGGTGCTTGTTGTGCTTTGGGCAGTGTAGCCCCCAAACCCCACCCATGCTGCCACTGTATTCTACCTATCAGACGCAATATAACTATATAGCTATGATTTTTATACTTATCATATTTACTATAACTAAAAAACGCTACTATGCTTTTACTTCTCATAATTATCTATAACTATAATTACAGCTAGTACATCTTCCTCAAATTATGACGAATGGTATCGTCAGTACAAACCCTAAACCCTAAACCCGAAACCCGACACCCTAAACCCTAAACCCTAAACCCTAAACCCTAAACCCTAAACCCTAAACCCTAAACCCTAAACCCTAAACCCTAAACCCTAAACCCTAAACCCTAAACCCTAAACCCTAAACCCTAAACCCTAAACCCTAAACCCTAAACCCTAAACCCTAAACCCTAAACCCTAAACCCTAAACCCTAAACCCTAAACCCTAAACCCTAAACCCTAAACCCTAAACCCTAAACCCTAAACCCTAAACCCAAGCCAGCGACAGCAGGAAGCGGCCGCTTGGCACCAAGAGCCTCGAGGAGTTCATCCAGCAGCTGGAGGACTGCTCGAAGCGCACCCCCCTTCAGGGGAGGTTTAGGGTTTAGGGTTTAGGGTTTAGGGTTTAGGGTTTAGGGTTTACGGATAAGGGATTAGGGTTTAGGGTTTAGGGTTTAGGGTTTAGGATTTAGGATTTAGAGTATTTTGGGTACCTTCATGTGTACCCTTTAAGGGATTATCTAGGGTACCTTTTATATATACCCCCTTAAGACCCCCTTACTTGGCTTTCTTCTGGCTGGCTCTGAGGACTTGAACCTTTTGGATTATTGTAGAAACTGCGATAAGGAGCCTAAAAGTTAAGCTTTTAGAAGGGGTTCAGAAGTCAGCCAAGCTTAAGGGGGACTAAGTGAGGGTTTCAAAGGGTTTGAGAAACCATAGACCTGAGTATCTCAAGATTCTAGTAGGGATTATAGCAGCATAGGGTACATCACCCAACTCTAGGGTTCTTTTGGTGCCTAAGGACACGGGGGACGACTTCAGAGCCCTCAACTCTAAACCCTAATCCCTAAACCCTTATAAACCCTAAGCCCTCATAAATCCTAAACCCTTATATGCCCTAAACCCTAAACCCCCCTTGTGTGCGGGGTCTTGGCCTTGATGTGCGCGGAGAAGTGGGGGCCTCTCAGTGTTAACAAATTGAGCAAGAACATTTTAGGAAGCTTAAACAGGCCCTTGAAACATGCATGCGTGTTATTGTATATAGGTATGTAGATGCAGTTAGCTATTCATGCTATTAGGAAGCTGGGAGAAGCCCTTGAGAACTCTAAGACTGGCAAAAACCCGCGTACCTAAAGCGCACAGAGAGAGAGGGAGCGAGAGAGAGAGAGAGAGAGAAAGACAAATAACTAAGTAAATAATCCCTTCCCCCTAAGGCTAAAAAGCCCACCCCTCCCCACCCACCCCCCCGGTAATTCTAAAATTCCCGTCGGCCGGAAAGATACGCCTAAAAAAGCCAAAGAGATTCCCTAATTCAGCATTAAAAAACATTACAAGCACGAGTTAAACCCCAAAGCAGAAAACGAGAGAGATGTGGTAGTGACTGCGACCACTGCAGAACAATGGCCATGCCACCAAGTCCCTCACAAGCCAAACAAGGCTCCCCTGACGAGTTGCAAGACGTTGGAACATCCTAACCCTTAAGCCCTAAACCCTAAAATCCTAGACCTTTAACCCCCTTACCCCTGAGCCATTCAAACCCTAAACCAAGCCACGAGCTTAGATCAGGCGATGTTGCGTAGGTAGGCCTTTACCTCTATGTCACCCGATTATAACCCAAAGAGACACATTGAGTTTTATTGGGCCCCAGGCAAACCCCAGCCCCGCCCTCCCTGGCCCTAGATCCCTCAACCCGACACCCTAAATCCTAGTTCCCTACTAGGAACCACTCAAGTTGTCTGGAGGAGGAGAACAACCCAAGGGCTCTCCAAAAGCCAAAGGCTCGGGCTCTTTGGGTTTAGCTTTTGGGTTTAGGGTTTAGGGATTCTAGGGTTTAGGTTTAGGGATTACAGGGCTTCGGAAACCGTTTGAGGACAGCTGCGGTTTCTTGCTGGCTTGAAAGGGGCTTCTGGGTTCCTCACTCTAGGATTGCCCTACACTTTGAAGCCCTAAACCCTTTGGCCCGTGCTCAAAGCAAGCTTAGTTCGTAGCCCAGTGGTAACCTTTACCTGTCTTTGGTTCTGGGTTCCCTTCTAAAGTAACCAACCCCGAATGGTCCACGTGCTACCAAGCTCATATCCGTTAGGGTCAACACCAGACCGGAAAGCCAAACCCACGTGAAGCGAAGGCTCATACGGATCGTGCTACTTGTACGTAGGACTGGGCAGGGTAGCTAACCCTAAGGCTCCAAGGACTCCTATTTAAGGTTTTTGGGTCCAAGGGCCCTACCTTCAAAAAGGTGGTACGTGTGAGGGGGGCCAGCACACTCCCAGATCTAGTGGCCACGCTAGCCGGTATTTATAAAGCCGCGCCACAGAATGAATCTGGCTCTCCTTCATTGTGTCAGGTTTCCTAAACCCTAAACCCTAAACCCTAAACCCTAAACCCTAAACCCTAAACCCTAAACCCTAAACCCTAAGCCCGAACACACAATCCAAATGCCGAGGGCAAGTTCGCACAGGCCGGCCCTTGGGATGTGAAGACAGGGAATGGTGCCCCTGTTAACGCACATGAGGCAAGGCCGTGGCCCTAAACCCTAAGCCCTGAACCCTAAACCCTCCCCAAAATGGCCCACCACAATCCCCAAAGCTCCCAATATTTCCGAAAACCCCTAAACCCTAAACCCTAAACCCCCTCAGCAGAAGCCCCAGCTGCCGAAGGTGCTTGCGCCCTTCAAGCGCCAAGCGCCCGCAGAAAGTGTGAGCTCGTAGAAGCCCTTTCTCTTCAAGGCAGGGACAGCAAGGTTACACCAGTGTTCCACAGGAACAGAGCGAAGTCACCTGCCTGAAGTCAGGCACACGAACACTATAAAGCAACGCAAGTGAACCCTGCCCTACTGCGAAGTGCCTTCTCCGCCTGGCCTGGACGATTTTCTCAGCGCGGCTTTGCCGGCAAAGTGCGAAGGTGATAGGACTGTCAAAGCCTTTGGATTCCGGAGTCTGAAGGTTTCTTGTCCGGGGGTTTTGGTCCTTAGAAACGCGCCTTGAAAGTCCATACGATGCCTGTATTGCTGGGGTTGGTTATGGCGCTTAGGGCCTTCTCAGAAGATGCGTTCATGCACGGTGAGTTCAAGCCCCAAACCTGCGCCCTAAACCCTAACCCTAAACCCCAAACCCCAAACCCTAAACCCTAAAGCCTATAGACCCTAAACCCTGAAACCCCCAAACGCGCTGACTGCCGGCTCGCGCTGCCCTCTCACACGTTTCACGCGGCCGCGCTCCTGTTGGGAATCGGCGTTGTGTGTACCGTCGTAGATATACAAGCAACGAAGTAAATACAAAGATATATATATATATGTATGATAAACTAATATATCGTATAGTATATTAACATATTATATTAGACAACAATCTTCTGATCAACTGTAATATATGTATATATATACACACATACATATTTTTCTTGTATTATATGACTATATATATATATACATATATATATAATGTATATATTGATGTGTATGGGTAGTGCTAATTGGGCTTGAGTCGAGTTCAGTTCCTCATATCGAGTTTGGGTAGAGGGATACAGGGGGTGTGGAGAAGGCGTCTCTGCATACATGTTATGCAATAAGAGAACCGCTTCAGAAACAGCTTGTCCCTTGCGGGGCCCCCGCCGCCGGTTTTCCGCCCAGCTATACTCTTCAAAGATCGTTTTCGGCGCGACTTAAAGAGAGGATTGTTTAGAGTGCGGCACCGTGGCCAGCTGTGTTGCCCGTGATTGCTGCCCCTTCTAAGTATACGCAAAAGTGGGTTGAGTCATTAAGGAGTAATTCTGCTTGAAGTGTGGGGGGGGGGGGTTGAGGGTTTTGCGGGTGTCCATGCTTGCGCCAGGATGCAGATTGCTACGCTTATTGGTAGGGTTTGCGCGGGCGTTTGACGCTCTATCTTCGGATCCTCGAGTTCATTTCAGGGCTTCACGAATGTTTAGGATTTAGGGTTCAGGGTTTAGGTAAGATTATAAGCTTTAGGCAAAGTGGAAGAGAGGAGATTCCCTGCTGCCCAACACCCCCCCCCGCCCCCTGCTCTTGAGCCCTCGGCTCTCCCACCAAGCTAGCTAAGCCAGTATCTAGCCCCGGGTTTAGGGTTTAGGGTTTAGGGTTTAGGGTTTAGGGTTTAGGGTTTAGGGTTTAGGGTTTAGGGTTTAGGGTTTAGGGTTTAGGGCTAGACCTCGAATTGCAGCAGTTTGCCCCTCTTGGGTGCGAAGTTCTAAAACGAAAGCCCTAGGCATCCATCTAGCATGCACCTACAACACCCAAACGGTTCGCTCCTGTAAACCCAATCTACATGGATGTAGAAAACAGTTTAAGAATATTTCACATTGCATTCCTAAGCAACAGCAAGGTTGGTACCTTCTTCGTAGTAATCTCCGGCTTTCGCAGGCCTGAGTGGCTCCCAGCCGAACGAAGTTTCACCTGCGGGCACGCGGTACACCGACCCCCCCGCCCACCTCTACTTTGTAGAAACTGCCCTAAATCCTAAACCCTATTTCCTAGACCCTAAACCCTAAGCCCTAAGCCCTAAACCCACCGGGGTGCGCACGCACGACAGGAGTCTAGGCAGCCTGCAAGCAACCAATGGCGGCTCGCACTCTGAGTTCAGGGTTCAGGGTTAAACTTGCAAACTACGAAGCCAACACCGCTGCTCACACCATGGCCGCGGGCTCAGGTCTACAGGGCAAGGAAGCTGCTTTGGGCTTGGGGTTTAGGGTTTAGGGTTTAGGGTTTAGGGTTTAGGGCTTCTGTTCCTTGAATATTCTCGGGCTCAGGTGGAAAGAATGTTGGGATCACGGCGGTGGGCTCCACAGCAGTATGTCTCGAACAATCCCTAAGTCTGGGCTTGGGGTTTAGGGTTTAGGGCTTTGGGGTTTAGGGTTTAGGGTTTAGGGTTTAGGGTTGAGACACTCGGGCTCATCAGTGGACGGCCAGCTTCAAGAGTCCCACGAAGGGCAGAATATCTGGGTTTGGAAATACCATACTTTAATACTTGTTTTTGGTTCTGGGTTGCTATCATAGCTACTTAGACCAAAAAGGTATACTTTTTTTTCCAGGGTCTACTCCAACGTAGGGATTTTAGATGTCACATCAGTCACCCTAAACTTATAGGGTCCTATTTGGGATGTTCCCCTGATACAAACAGTCCTGAACAGGGATTCTAGTACCTCCTATTGTAATCCCTAGTCAGGGCTGTTAGTATACGGCGGAACATCCCAAGACCTATTAGCCACTGTTTTCTTAAGGAATCCCCCAAGAATAAAGCCAATCTTCCTTATAAAGGGTAGTATAGGGATTAATCATTTTTCCTTTTTGGGGGGGTTCTTAAGCAAATAGGGGTTTATAGGGCTCTTACAGTCTCAAAGGACGCGAGTTCAAGGGGGGTATGTAGCCCAAAATTCCCTGGTACTCGCCATTCCTCCCTAGGGCGCCCGAAGCTTCCCTAAGGTTCCCGAGGTACTTACCCCCCATGAACCCCCTGCCCCTCCCTTAGAGCCCAACAATAAGCCCTAAACACCCCTATCCCGAACACGCCATAGAGATGCCCTAAACGCCCTAAACCCTAATCACTATAAACCCGAAAACACCCTAAACACCCAACACCCTAAACCCTAAGCTTCTGAACCCTTACACACTCTGCCCCCGAGAAACCCTAATCCCTAGAAACCCTAGTCCCAAAAACCTAAAAGAGCCATCAAAACTTTGATCCCTAATCCCTCAACACCGTAGCAATCCCTACAAACCCTAAACCCCTAACCCCTAACCCCTAAACCCTAAACCCGAAACCCATGTGCAGGTCATCCCATTGGGGCCGATGTCGGCGGCAGGGCCCCAAGAGCGAAGCCTCACCAGTCTTAGCCTAAAGGGTTTAGGGTTTCTTGCTAAATTCCTAAACCCTAATCCCTAAACCCGAAACCCTACACCCTAAACCCTAAACCCTAAACCCCAAACCCTAAACCCTAAACCCTAAACCCTAACCCCTACCATCCAAAGGGACCAATGTAAATATCTCCTTGAGCCCAGGCCGGTCCTGAGGCTGTCCCAGATGTCGTCAAGGACAAGCCGGGCCCCTCAGAGGGTTTAGGGTTTAGGGTTTAGGGTTTAGGGTTTAGGGTTTAGGGTTTAGGGTTTAGGGTTTAGGGTTTAGGGGGGTTCAGGGTTCACGTTTTGCTCCAAAAAACGTTTTTGTTGGTTTTGTTTGGTGTTTTGCTCGTATGTACAGAAAAGCTTCAAGAGTAGTTACAGATGATTTCTCGGTCGCCGTCGACCGTAGGGGGCACCCACAGAGTCAGATCCATTTCTTGAGATATACGAATAACGTCAGAATACAGTATGATGGAATTTTTCATTTCATAAAACAGTATAAGAACACAGCATAATGGAGTTTTCTTATTTCACAAAGCAGTCTAAGAACATGGGAGTGCAATCAGAGAATCCCGAAATGATGGCGCCTCCTGAGTGCACTCGTCCGGCAGAGCAGATCTCAGTCCGAAGCCCTCAGAAGGCTGGGATGTTCCCCCTTATACGAACAGTCCTTCATAGGCATGATCATTGGAGGTACTATCTTAGATAGTACCCCCCCCCCCCCCTATCCGTGTTAAGGGATTACAGTAGCCCTACTATCATCCCTTTAGGATAGGGGGGGGGGGGGGAGCATCCCAATCAGAAGGCTTCAAAGACAGCCCACGAATCGCGCGAGGTACTCGAAGTTCTGGTCCCGCGCCCAGCTGCTTGGGGTTTAGGGCTTAGGGCCTAGGGCTTAGGGCTTAGGGCTTAGGGCTTAGGGGCCTTATAAATGTCAAGGCGCTTCCTCAGGTTCCTAGGGTTTAGGGTGTAGAGGGTTTCGGTTTCGGGTTCAGGGCAGCCCCCAAGCCCGAGCAACCCTGAAACAGCTCCATGTATGGCCCCTGACCCTTCACGGCCCTGCAAGGCATCTTCCCCAACCGTCTGAGTTCGGCTGAGGGCTTGTAGAGCTACTCCCTAACCCGAAACCCTAAACCCTAAACCCTAAACCCTAAACCCTAAGCCCTAAACCCTAAACCCTAAACCCTAAACCCTGGGCAGAGGGGGGGGCCCTCCAGGTGGGCCATCGCCGCCTTGCTCGTCGTCATCGCGGCAGGGCGCCCACAGCACCAGACCATGGTCTCCTTGCTATGTAATTAGGGGGGATTTTACTATAGGTATCGTGTATGGTTTGGGGTTTAGGGTTTAGGGTTTAGGGTTTAGGGTTTAGGGTTTAGGGTTTAGGGTTACGGGCTTAGATAGACCCCGGGATGGTCAAGAGATGATTCCATCATGGCTCTGAGGGGCCGGCATAGACGAGGGCACCTTACGGAAGACGGGCCATCTTGCCGATTTGGTCTGAGCGGCTCCTATGATACGTAGGGAACCGGGGCCCGCTCTTAGACCCTAAACCCTAAACCCTAAACCCTAAACCCTAAACCCTGGGCTCATTGGGTTTAGGGTTCAGGGTTTTTGAACCCCAAACCGCAAACCATAAACCCTTGACCCCGAAACCCCTAAACCCTAAACTAGGCCCTATAAACCCTACCCCTAGGCGTGCGAGATTGTGACGCACGACGTCTTCGCCGTTCTGTTCCACTCGCTCCTCGCAGGTGCCATCATCTCCCCGGAAGCTCTCCGACAAAGGGAAGTGCCGGGGAATTACCTAAAAAAGAATTACTATGGGGGGGATGGAATTATAAGGTACATTGTTCCCGTAATTGAACTAGTAGGATACAGGAAGCCTCGAAAAGGCTACTTAAGGGTAGATCCTTGAGCTGCCGACGTCGGACACCAATCAGGGGCCTCCAAGAATAGGCGGCCCGAATTTCCCAGGGCCCTTGACTGCGCATCTACCGCTGTTGGATTCAGGGTGTCTGATAGACTAGATGATGTAGGTTCTTGGGCCGTTCGGCCACGACGCGAGGCTCGCAAGGAGAGAAGTTAAGGGATTTGTGAGGGAGCGGTGAGAAGCCAGTGCTTGCTTGTGCCTTAAATGCCATTCACTCAAGCTGAGCCCTCGACGTAAAAACACATCCAGACCATGGCCCCTGCACAGCACCGGAATCCACCTCGCACCTCTCTGGAAACCCCAAGAACCCAAGCAGTTCTCAAAATTAGGCTCCCTTCTTCAACACCCTGCGTTTTCAGGAATCCCAAAACAAGGACCTTAATTTCGACAATCTACCCTAAACCCTAAACCCTAAAACCTAAACCCTAACGTTTTATCCCCTCAGCCCACCCCTCACCACAGCTTCCGCAAGCCGGTTTCCAAGCGCAGCCATGCACCGGCTCTGCTTGGCCTTGACCATCCAGGCCTGGTATGCCGCTGGCGAAGGCCACTCGCCCTGCCTATCCTTCTTTGCTTTCTATTCTGCTAGTAAAGTTACACAGCCAGTTATAGAATCAATAAACAATAATCACAAATATACGAATTCTCACAATAGTACTGTGCTCTACTTAAGGAGCTCAAGTTTCTAACTATCTCTAACCTCTGCCCTGAAGTGCGGGTGGGGGAGTCCAAGCCCCTTTTGGGCGTCTGGGTTGCTTGAGGGGCTTCCGGGTTGGGACCCTGCGCCCGATATCCTCTACATTCCGTGGAGGGTTTAGTTTAGGGTTTAGGGTTTAGGGTTTAGGGTTTAGGGTTTAGGGTTTAGGGTTTAGGGTTTAGGGTTTAGGGTTTAGGGTTTAGGGGACAAGACGAGGTGATACCTGCGCAGCCGGCGGCTGCACTGCAGCCGGTGCAGCTCCGCGGCAACACCACTGGCCTGTTCAGAGCCTCAGAATCCATGGGCGTCTTAGCGGCTGGGGTTTAGGGTTTAGGGTTTAGGGTTTAGGGTTTAGGGTAGAGGGTAGAGGGTTTAGGGTTTAGGGTTTAGCGTGTAGGGTTAGGTTTAGGGTTACGAAACTCTTCTTAGGGGCTGGGCAGTTGACCTTAATAACCTTTTTGGTTATACGTAATCCTATTACAAATCAAAGGTTAACCTTTCTTGAGGGCTAGGGTTTAGGGTTTAGGGTTTAGGGTTTAGGGTTTAGGGTTTAGGGTTTAGGGTTTAGGGTTTAGGGTTTAGGGTTTAGGGTTTAGGGTTTAGGGTTTAGGGTAGCCCCGAAGGAGTTGGTGAGGCCCAACATCCCGGAGTGATGTGCGAGGAGTCCAAGAAAGCGCTTGAAAGCCCCTGAACTGGAACCTTCCTTCGGGGGACCATGTGAACCCTAGTTTAGGGTTTAGGGTTAGGGTTTAGGGTTTAGGGTTTAGGGTTTAGGCTTTCGGGCTTAGGGTTTAGGGTTTAGGGTTCAGGGACCCTAAAGTTGGGATCATGTACCCAACACTACTACAAGCCTTGTTAGGGTACATGAACCAGAAAGCCCTTTGGGGATCGTCTGGTCCTGATCCTTATAGGATCAGCGAAAGAAGTGGGGCGCTCAACGGCGTGAGTGAGCACATGGCTTCTTGCGTCAGGATCCTAGAGACTCCAATACCCCTTAATTAGTGAATTTTCCTTAAATCATAATAGGGTTCCTTATATGGTTTAAGGAATATTCCCTAAACCCTAAACCCTGAATTCAGGGGTATTGGGGTCTCTGGCATCATAGGCCACTCTGGGCATCTCCTCGGCTCCCTGAGGCTGGGAGAAAAAGGCGGCTCCAGCTTAGATAGATCGGGGTTTAGGGTTTAGGGTTTAGGGTTTGGGGTTTGGGGTTTAGGGTTTAGGGTTTCACACCGTAGTCTTCTTCAGGCCCAGGGACAACAATCCAGTGGACCCGAGAGAGAGATTACGCCCTAGACTCTAGTCTCTTACACTTTTCATGCCCTCAAGCCCTGTACATCTGGGTAGTTGTCCAAATTCGGGGCCCCGGACACCCTGGACACCCTAGATACTAGGTGCCGCATACTAGGGACCCCAAAAGGGACCATCGTTTTGACAACCACCCAATCCGAGGAAGGGCTCCGGCGAGCGAGTCGGCTTCTCCCCGCACGTGACTCACCGCAGCGAAGTGTGCTTTCCTGTTTGGAGGGCCTTCAGGTGTTGAGTTGAGGGTTTAGGGTTTAGGGTTTGGGGTTCCCTTATACTCCCTTAAAATCAAGAAGGGCACCGTTCTATTCCAAGATTCCTGCTGGGTCTAGCTGAGCCCGAAGACCTGCCACCGACGGGCTCGGCCCAGTAAACCCTAAGCAGCCATGAGCCCTCCACTACCCTCAACAATGGGGGATGTCCCCCCTTATCTTCACAGTTCTTAGTAGGGACTGTGGTACCCCCATGACAATCCCTATTAAGGACTCTCTTAGTATAAGAGGGAACATCCCAACTCTATAGGTTTTTTTGTGGATACCTCCAAGCGGCCTCAAGGCAGAACTCCCCCCAAGGAAACAAGACAATACCCCTGCACCCCGCACCCCGAGGTGATGCCCGATATCGCGAAGGGACCGAGCTGGTCTTGGCAGGAGTCAGTCATTCCCCGGGTTCTTCGTGGGGAATGAGGGAATTCTAGGGCCCCCTACTTGTACCCTTCAAGGGATTCAGGTTATTTCAGGGGGGAACCTAGGGGGGGCAGGAAAGAGGGTTTAGGGTTTGGGGTTTGGGGTTTAGGGCTAGGGTTTAGGGTTTAGGGATTGGGGGGGGGGGGGGGGGGTAGCATAAAGGGGGTAGTATATAGGGGAACTTCTAGAAGGAGACGTTCGGAGATGTGGTCCGAGCCACTCCTCTCATCGACGACCAGAGACCGGGCCGCGATTTGCCCTGTCAAGAACCCCTGATTTGGGATGTTCCCTTATACTAGGGTTTAGGGTTTAGGGTTTAGGGTTTAGGGTTTAGGGTTTAGGGTTATACTAACAGCTCCTTCATAGGGACTATTGATAGGGCTACTATTATCCTTCTTAAGGGCTGTGAGTATAAGGGGGAGCATCCGAAACCCTGATTGTTTTGGCTTGGGGTTTATAGTGGGCCTGGGCTTAACATCTTGAAGGGTCTGCGCGAAATCCGCGTGTAACAAGGTGGCCTCAACAAGTACGTTGTGCCCCCCGACATCCTGATTCCCCAATTTGTCGGCATGTAACTGCCTGCGAAGACGCCACCCGCAGAAGGATCTTGAAAGCCCCAAAGTAGCATCTCATTCTGAGGGCTATGCGTTTCGGCCCCTGAGTCTGAAAACCCCGAAGGGAAGGTTTCAGACCGCCACACAGGGGGGGTTTCGGCCACAGCTGTACCTCTCTCCCTTATGCCCAGAAGGGGCTCCCGAAGATGTCGGGTTGTGACCAACATCGTTGCCAAAGCGCCCGCAAAGCGTTCGCCAAGCATCCGCGGGCTTCGCGCGGGAGAGTTACGCCTGCGGAGGCCTACGCTCTTAGCATGGCTTGGGGGCCCCTGAATTATTTTCATACTATTTCCATAGAATGATATTATTTGAATTCTGTTTTCATACAATAATATTTGTAATGAAAAGGTGGGACCTCCGAACTTTCAAAGGCGTGGAAAGTTTCGAGGAGTGGGCACTCGAAAGGGCCACCATTCTCGGGACTTTCTTCGGGTTTAGGGTTTAGGGTTTATAGGGTTCAGGTTTAGGGTTTAGGGCAATTTAGGGTTTACAGTTTATAGGGTTTAGGGGTTTATAGGTTGGGATGTTCCCCCTTATACGAACAGTCCTTCATGAGGATTATACTAGGGGGTACTATAATGTACAGCAGCTGGTCTCCAAAGCCCTGTAAGCCTTTAGATCCTAACTAGCTCAGGAATAGGGTTTAGGGGTTTGTAGGGTTTAGGGTTTAGGGTTTAGGGTTTAGGGTTTAGGGTTTAGGGGGCTTTATAGGGTTTACAGGATTTTTAGGGCTTCTAGGGCTTAGATTTTCGAGGGTGAGATCCCAACTAGCTCAGGAAGAACATCTACATCACATCCGTGGCCGGCAGATCCTACAAGTTCAGCCCGAAGGGACAGCTACTGTGGAGCCACTACACCGACAGCAACTCGGCGCATCATGTTTAGGGTTTAGGATTGAGGGTTTAGGGTTTAGGGTTTAGGGATGTTTAGGGTTTAGGGTTTAGGGTTTATGATATATTTGATAATACTCATACATCCGTATACCATACAATCATACGAGTAGTGCAAGAATTGGAAAGGGTGCTTTCGTACGGTTGCTATTGATGGATCAGACTTCCACCCTCCCGAAATCGAAGGTACCCGTCTAGTCCAGCGTTTATCTAGGGTTTGGGGTTCAGGGTTGCTCAGGCCCTAAACCTTAAGTCCTAAGCCCTGAAGGTATGGGAGGCGTTCCATCAGTGGCCACCCTGTGGGACTCGGTCATGATGCTGCTGACGAGGAAGGGATTCCTTATAGCCCTGGACCTCGATACGGGCGTGGAAAGGCGCCGAACTCCGCGAAGGGACTTTCCATTCCTAGGGGGCTGGGTCGTCTAGGGTTTAGGGTTTAGGAGTTCACCTTCAACCTTTTTCTTATATATATGTAGAATATGTTTCCCATTTGCTGATATTTATTTGTTTGTATAATCCTACTACAACAAAAGGTTCACCTATTCGGGCTTGGGTATTCAGCCCCGAAGATTCCTTCAGGGCTTGCAAGAGGGCTTCGAGGTTTTTGGGGGGCTTGAGAAAGGTCGTCAAGGGCTTCTAATTAGGGGGTTGTTCTAGGGTTGCGTTTGGGTTTTTTTCTACACATGTATCAGCAAGGCAGCTGGTTTGGGGTTTTTGGTAGGGAGTTGGGGTGCTTAGTTTATGATTATCATTTTTTGTGTTTTTTTTTGCGGGCGGGGGGGGAGCTTAGGGCTTATAGGATTTATGTAGGTTCATCTTGGCCTTTAGAGATTTAATTGCTCTAGAGAGTTTATAGGGAGTGTAGGGTTAGGGGTGAGCCTGAAACTCAGAGCTCGCACCTTCGGAGAAAACCCTAAACCCTAAACCCTAAACCCTAAACCCTAAACCCTAAACCCTAAACCCTAAACCCTAAACCCTAAACCCTAAACCCTAAGCCAGGTGGGCGAAGAAGGTCACCGAGCAGGTGGCTCAAGCTGCGGACTGCTCGCTGGTGACGCATGGGTGACCAGGCTGAGAGGCTGCGACGCCCACCTAGGGTTTAGGGTTTAGGGTTTAGGGTTTAGGGTTTAGGGTTTAGGGTTATTCTTAAGAGGGGGGGGGGGGTATGTCACACAAGGATCCCAAGACCTCACCACTTCTCCCTAAGGCTCCCTAAGCTTCCCTAAGGCTCCCTACCTAAACCCGAAGCCCCGCGGCATTTGGGTTGGCGGCTCTACGGCTTAAGCCTCGCAAAGAGGACTCCATAAACTCCCTAAACTCCCTGAACTCCCTAAGCTCCCTAAGCTCCCTAATCCTCGCTCCTAACTCCTAAACCCTAAGCCCTAAACCCGAAACCCACGCTCCCTGAACCCTGAACCCTAAACCCTAAAACCCTGAACCCTAAACCCTAAACCCTAAACCCCAGGCTCATCATCGTCTCGGTCGTGGAGCCCGTGCCGCTTGTGCCAACCTGGCAAGTGGAGAACAACCGCGTGCTAGCTCTGAGCCTCGGCTAGGGTTTAGGGTTTAGGGTTTAGGGTTTAGGGTTTAGGGTTTAGGGTTTAGGGTTTAGGGTTTAGGGTTTAGGGTTTAGGGTTTAGGGTTTGGGGATCAAGCGGCACTGCAGCGAAGAAGAGCCTGATGGAAGGAATGGCCATACGGGATTGCGGCAGTTCGTGGGGATGTCTTGCCATTTGCCAAATTGAACTGGCTTCCGAGCGTCTACTGTTTGCTTAAGAACCCTCGAAATTTCAAAAATGACATGATAATCCCTATTATTACGTTATCCCTATGAGGAAGAATATGTTATTTTTTTGTTTGGGGGGGGTTCTTAAGCAATTCGTAGCCCTTTGGTTAGCAACCATCTGCTACAGTACCAACTACCAGACAAGGCCCGAAACCCTAAACCCCCTAAACCCCGAACCCCCTCGACCCTAAACCTTAAACCCTAAACCCTAAACAACCTAAACCCCACAAACCCTGAAGAGCGCCACATCTTTCTCCGAGGAGCGTGGAAGACGGATCGCGGCAGGCATCCTTCGCTCCCTATCGACCCTAGCTAGGCCCTTGGAACATTTTATATGTTTTTCTCTTAGTGGGGTTTAAGAGGATCACATAGTAGCCCTAAACCCTAAACCCCTAAACCCTAAACCCGGAATATTGTTTCAGACTGTTCTAATGGCCATCCGAGGTCCGACCTTCAACTTCCAGGCCTCAACGGTCCACGACGGCAGCTTCGTGTTTCAGGACCTTCGGGTAGCCCTGTGGTTTAGGGTTTAGGGTTTAGGGTATAGGGTTTAGGGTTTAGGGTCGAGGGTTTAGGGTTTAGGGTTTAGGGACCCCTTTTTTTTTTTCGGGGGGGGGGGGGGGGGTTCAAGGTTCCCTTGTAAAGTAACCAACCCCCCCCCCCCACAAAAAAAAAAATGGTGCCCTTGTTATAATGTGGGTGCTATTATTAGGCTATCAAGCAGGACAGGCTTGGAAGTTTTGTTACGCTCCTCTGGCAGTGTCAACTTTGCTGAGGCAGATGTCAGCAGGGCACGCGCGCTTGCAGTTGCGTTCTCCTGAATCTGTCAGCTCTCGCATCCCATGGTATATTCGTAGATTTTGTGGCACCCTAAACCCTAAATCCTAAATCCGGAAGTCGTAGACCCTGCCCAACCAATTACAACGGCCTCTGAGAAATTCCCTGTGCCAGGACCGAGCGGGGGGAGTCTACCGAGTCACCACAGGATTGAAGCTCATTTGGTATGCCAGTGCGCCTGTGAGGGAATCTGGCACAACTGCAGCAGCCGTGATCCACGATGGCCGTGTCTTCGCCATGAGCAACACCGGCGACGCCTTGAGCGCCTGGACTGGCACCCTCAAACCTGAGACCCTCGAAACCCCCGAAGGGTGTAGGGTTTAGGGTTTCGGGTTTAGGGTTTAGGTTTTAGGGTTTAGGGTTTAGGGTACCCAGATCCCATCAACCCTCCACTCTCGAAGGTGGTAAAGAGTCACTTGGGCTGCTGCACGTGTCCCTTGTCTGAATTTCGAGATGCGACGTTTCCCTACTTACCTTAAGAAACCAACGCCTACCTTGTTGTTCTGCTACCTCAGAACCCTTTGTAGGGTTCTTATAGGCCACCTATCAAATGCGGGTTCGGGGCCAACCCTAAACCCTAAACCCTAAACCCTAAACCCTAAACCCTAAACCCTAAACCCTAAACCCTAAACCCTAAACGAAGTTCAGGGTTCTTAAGGCGGCTTTTGGGGAAGTCAGCAGCTGAACCGCGGAAGCCCGGAGCTGGGAAGCCCAAGGTACGACTATGCAGACGGCCAGTTTCTTTGGTCCCAGGACCTTTGGAGAAAAAACAGGGGTTTAGGGTTTAGGGTTTGGGGTTTAGGGTTTAGGGTTTAGGGGTTTAGGGTTTAGGGTTTAGGGTTTGGGGTTTAGGGTTTAGGGTTTAGGGTTTAGGGCCTTAATGTGGGTTTACAGGGTTTAGGGTAGCGGTACGTTCGGACTTCAGTTTGCTCAGCCAGTAATAAGCAGCATGGGGCTTAGCTTGATGTGCTGTTTTTTTTTTTTTTTTTTCCGAGCATGTCTTGGACAAGTTGCCGCTTGTGGAGGCCTTTGTAGTTTCTGCTGGGATTCCTGTCTCTGTGCTCTTAGTCGCCATCGTGGCACGTTTTTGGTTGAGGACCTGCCCTACGAGGGCAACCAGGCGGTGGCCATCGGCGAGCTGGCAGGTAGCCCCGGTAAGACCTCGCTGAGCCTGCTACAAAGCCAAGAAACTTTTTTTTTTTGGGGTGGGGGGGGGGGGGGGGGGTGGGGTGGGGGGAGGCATGAAGGCGACGGAGTTGCTTACTTTAGTTTTCTAAGGTCCCGAGTTCCAAACCCTAAGCCCCAAACCCTGAACCCTGAACTCTAAACCCCAACCCTAAACCCCAAACCCTAAACCCCAAGCCCCCAACCCTAAACCCCAAACCCTAAACCCTAGCCCTAAACCCTAAACCCTAAACCCTAAACCCTACACCCTAAACCCTGCAAGTCCCAGGATCCTCGGCATGGGTAAGAACCCACAGCTGCCCATCATCGTGAGGGTCGGCTTCACCCTTCCGGCCTTCTTGAGCCTCGGCCAGTACTAGGAAGGGTTTAGGGTTTAGGGTTTAGGGTTTAGGGTTTAGGGTTTAGGGTTTAGGGCTAGGGTGTAGGGCTTTAGGGTTTAGGATTTAGGGTTTTGGGTTTAGGGTTTAGGGTTGCCCTTTTTCCACCCGTTTTTGTAGGGTTTAGGTTAGGTCCCTCTGGAAGCCCCTGTAAACGCTGAGGACCCAGAATTCTGTTCGTCTCAGGGTAGGTGCATGGACCCTTCATCTGGTCCCTTACCCTCTAAAGGGTTCCGACGTATGTGCCCTTAATTTGTATAGGGTATAGAGGGGGTTCTTCTAAGGTCCAATACTAAGGGACCATGTATTTACCCTTAGATTTCCGTTAGAGTTTAGGTTCCACTTGGGTGATCATTCTTGCTAAGAAAAACAGTGCATATTTAGTGCTAATCATGAGTAAGTATAAAGATAACTCTAATTCTTACTGCTAATATACTATGCGTTCTTGTTAGGAATCATTAGGGTTATGTTTAAGCAAAAACAGCTGGGACTACCATACATAGAGACAGAGAGAAGTATTACTAGTGGTAGTATGCAACAGTATGTATAGACTATTTTCTTTTTGATTGAGATCAGCATGGGGCCATCCTCTCCAGGGCCCCTCAGCCGTGACACCCAGCTGCTTCACCTGTTTAGGGTTTGGGGTTTAGGGTTTAGGGTTTAGGGTTTAGGGTAGACTTGTTTGAAGGATCCCCTTCTTCTTGCCGTTCCACTTGCTGAGCCTCTACCTCCCTTCCCTCTTCGCGGGCAAGCAGGGGCGGTCGGTCACCGCCATGGACGCTGCCACCGGTGCTGTCCTCTGGTATCACGAGCTCCTTGGACCGACTGCAGGGCCCATCCCAGGCTGCCTAAAGAAGCCGACTATACTGTGTACGATACCAAAGAAGCCCTAAACCCTAAACCCTAAACCCTAAACCCCAAACCCTAAACCCTAAACCCTAAACCCTACAGATCTCACGACACCCCGCACTTTGAAGCACACCCTGAAACAGCTCGGGGCCCCGAGGATGGAGCCCTTCCAACTCCCTGCCGCACTGGGCGACTCCGAGAACGTCTCTTGGCTTTCTTCTGGTTGGCTCCTAAACCCTAAACCCTAAACCTTGAACTTGTTGTGTATTGTAGAAACCACAATAAGCAGCTTAAAAGTTAAACTTTTCGGAGGGGTTCAGAAGTCATCCAAGGTCTTGGAACGCTTCCAGGCGATGCAGAATGGCTCCAACCCCAACAACGCACCTTGGAGAACATGTGTTTAAGGGGGGCTTGGGAGTTTAAGGTTTAGGGTGTGGGGTTTGGGGTTTAGGGTTTACGGCTTTAGGGTTTAGGGGTGCTGGAAGCACACTTTCCTTCAAGAGCCCAAAACCTACTTGTGTGTAGGCTGGTGTGGGGGCTTGACTTCAACCCTGACAGCCTACTACAGGGTCGGAAAAACTACTAAACGTTTTCCCTTACGGCCCCTCTGTAATTTTGCTACAATAACCACCCCGAAACCCCCCCCAAAAAAACAAAAAAAACTATTCAAATCATTAAGGCCCCTACATGACTTCCCTTGATACAAGGAACCAATCTGTCTGCCCGATGCCAACGCGCAGCCTGTCATCGATGGAGCTGGCACCGCCTTTGTCCCTTTCCAGGCACCCCTCAGGGTTTGGGTTTAGGGTTTGGGGTTTAGGGTTTAGGGTTTAGGGTTTACGGTTTACGGTTTAGGGTTTAGGGTTTAGGGTTAGGGTTCAGAAGTTTAGGGTTTAGGGATAGTAGCAAGAGTTGTTTACCACCAGCTATACTGGCAAGAGCAGAGAAACTTAGTAGCCATCGTCATATAGCCGTAGTAATAGTAGTGATCAGACGACCAAGTCACAACAACCATAGCAACGAAAGTAGGAGCAACAACAGCCGAGTGGCTTAGCCGGGCTCAAGGGCTTCGAGGTCAGGTCACGGAGGGGGCTTTGAGGATTCCCATTTGTGGCTCTTGCGGCGTGGCGGCTGGGGGTTCGGGGGTTTTCGGGTGTAGGGTTTGTGGGATTTCCTGCGCCCCCCCCCCCCCCCCCACAGCTCCAAAGCCCTCCCTATTGTCTCGTCGAGGGCCAAGGCACCTGGGGAACTACAAAAGGCCTCAAAAGAGGTTCTGGTCCATATGCCATATACTTCTAAGGCAGGAATTGGAGCAGTACTAGGGTCTATGATACCAGTTTTTGGGTTTTCTTTGGCCCCAAAGGCCGCTCGCGCTTACGGGGGGGAGTCGCTGCCAGGATGGTGTGCTCTACGCCCTGCGAGATGAGGATGGCGACGGCCACATCTCGGCAGGGGAGGTCAAGGCACCCGCCCCAGCGCACGCGAACACAAAACTGGACATGAAGCAGGGTATAGATTGCTGTTCTTGGTTCCTTTTCTTTTAAATATTGGTGAGTGTATATACCGGGTGTCCTTTTGGGGATACAAGACATATGTATGAATATATATATATATATATACCCCACATCACCTGGCAGAAGTGGGCAACAAAGTGGACTTGTATTGATAGATGTTAGAACTGATAAATGCAAGAAATGCATACCGACATCATGATTACGTTTATAGATAGGTCATGTGTGTGTCTGGACATTTCAAGGCTCCCTCACCCCTGCCCAGCGCCTCTCCACAAACCCTTTGGGTGGTCAGCCGACAAGAGCAGAAGACCTTTAGACTGTTTTTTATGTATACATATTTTGTGTAGGTATGTGTATATATGGTTCAGCGTCGAGCGTCCTGGGCCCCCCCCCCCCATGGTATCCCCCCCCCCCCAAGTCTACTCTACGGTCCCTAAACCCTAAACCCTAAACCCTAAACCCCCAAACCCTAAACCCTAAACCCTAAACCCTAAAACCTAAACCCTAACCCTAAACCCTAAACCTTAAGTCTTAAACCTTAAACCCTAAACCCTAAAACCCTGAACCCTAAACCCTAACCCTAAAACCAACCCCCAACCACACCACAGGGGGGGGGGATCATCTTAGTACCCCATCCGCGGGGAAAACCCTAAACCCTAAACCCTAAACCCTAAACCCTAAAACCCTAAACCGTAAACCCTAAACCCTAAACCCTAAAACCCTAAAACCCTAAAACCCTAAACCCTAAACCCTAAACCCTAAAACCCTAAAACCAACCCCCAACCACACCACAGGGGGGGGGGGGGGATACCATTGGGGGGGGGGGGGGGGGGGGGGGGGGGGGGGGGGGGTAGGGGGGGGGGGTAGGGGGGGGGGGGTAGGGGGGGGGGTAGGGGGGGGGGGGGGAGGGGGGGGGGGGGGGGGGCGCCGGGGCCGAATCATATATATATATATATATAATATACGCATCTATATATGTATATGTGTATGTATGTGTATGTGTATATGTATATATTCTTACATCATGAATAGACAGCAGAACATACTCTAATAGACAACACATATACATGTATGACAATCTTACCATGCCAAAACCCTAAGTCTCAGCACAAGCCTGGTTCCTGGTTGGTTACAATTTTGCATTCTTATCTTTCTAAAATTCCTAATAAGGAATGAACATATGCCCTAAACCCTAAACCCTAAACCCCAAACCCTAAACCCTAATCCTAAACCCTAAACCCTAACAAGGAAGCAGAAGCAGCCGAGGCCCATTTCGTCGGCTCGGCTTTCCAGGCCTCGCCGGGCATGGCCCCCGGGCTTCTCGCCGCTCCGACCGACTTGGAAGCGGCCAGGGTTTAGGGTTTAGGGTTTAGGGTTTAGGGTTTAGGGTTTAGGGTTTAGGGTTTAGGGTTTAGGGTTTAGGGTTTAGGGTTTAGGGTTTAGGGTTTGAGGCATAGGAGCGTAGCATTTGGGATCGAGAGAGGGTTAGGGGGTCTAGGGTCTAGGGCTTAGGGAACTGGTCGGTAGGGAGTAGCACTCACTCACCAGCAGCTAAGCGCGAAGCTTGAGGAGCCCTTAAAGGTGTAAGCAAACGCATGGTGATAACTGTTTCATGAACATATGTTTCGCGGTTCTTCAAGCAACTGCTGTGGGCTGCTAAGAACCCCCGAGCTTCATGGGCTTTTGGGTTTCTCAAACTTTTGTTTTTTTTTTGTAATTCTTGCGCATCGGCCTGCTCTATGCAGGGTTCGATTCGCTTTGCAGACGGCTTGCGCGTATGCCCGTACCGTCCTAAGCCCTAACCCCCTAAGGGATGGGATAGGCTCAGGAGGGTCGATGCCCTAAACCCTAAACCCTAAACCCTAAACCTTAAACCCTAAACCCTAAATACAGAGCACGGCGGACCTCCTCCGAGCAGCCATTCTCCGTTTTGCGACCAGGAATCATATCTGTCACCCTAAACCCTAAGGCCTTGAACCCTAAACCCCAGACTCTTCACAGTTTATAGGGCTTATATTCGGATGTGTTCCCCCTCATACAAACAGTCCTTAATTGGGATGATAATAGGGGTACTATAATCCCTATTAAGGACTGTTGGTGTAAAGGGGTACATCCCAAGGTTGGTTGGGGTTTATGGGGTTTACAGGGCTCATAGGGTTCATCCGGTTTATGCTCGGGGCTCATAGGGTTTATACGGCTTCTAGGGTATTGGGGCAAACCCTAAGCTCTGAGCTGTCAGACCCTCTATACGAGTCTCTCCACTAAGCGTTTTGGGTTTAGGATTTAGGGTTTAGGATTTCGGGCTTAGGGTTAGGTTGAACGCCTCGTAGACAGCCCAACTGGGAAGGCCCCCAGCCCTGAACCAACAACTTGACCCTGAACCCTAAACCCCAAACCCTAAACCCTAAACCTTAACCCTGAACCCTGAACCCTAAACCCCAAACCCTAAACCAAAACCCTAAGCCCTAAGCCCTAAACCCTTTAGTGTCTTGAAGTTCGCAAAAAAACCGAGGCCGTTGTCGACTGCAGCGGCCGGCTGGAGGTCTTCCTCGGCCCCTGAGGAACCTAAGCCCTAAACCCTGAACCCTCAGCCCTAAACCCTAAACCCTAACCCCGAAAACCCTAAACCCTGGACCTGCCCCTAAACCCTAAACCCCAAACCCCTAAATCCTCGACCCTCAACCCCTTGAAGACGCTTCGCGCGACTCTAAGGGAACCAAGCCTCGCTTGGACCACGTCGCCGCTTCCGTGGAGAAAAGCTGGGTTTAGGGTTTAGGGTTTAGGGTTTAGGGTTTAGGGTTTAGGGTTTAGGGTTTAGGGTTTAGGGTTTAGGGTTTAGGGTTCAAAGTTAATCCAAACCCAAGGAGGGGTTTAGGGTTTAAGGGCTCGCAGCGCGGGTGAGCACAGGGGGGTGTCTGGATGGGCTCCCCTTCATTTGGCCCGAAACGCCTGCCTCAGGCATCACGATCTACCTCGCCCTGAGCCCGGCAAGTGCAAGTGAACAGTTTGGGGTTGTCTGCACATGTGTGTATATATATAGATACACATACACGTATACGTATACGTATACATATACATATACATATACGTATACGTATACATATACATATACATATACACATACACACATACATATACATACTTGCATATGCATAGAGAAACAAGTATATATACATATCATATGTATGTATGTGTATATGTGCATATTTATGTACACACACACACACATATATGTGTGTTGTATGTATGCATGCATGCATGTATGTATGTAGGTATGTATGTATGTATGCATATAGACTACACCTACAGAAACTTTCCAGAAGGCAAGAGTCTAAGAGGTCCATGCTCCTCTGGACCGGGTTCTCCAGGGCTTGGAGCGACTGTTGAAGCAGTGCCCCCCTCCGCCCCCCCCCCCCCCCCCCCCCCCCCCCCCCCCCCCCCCCCCACCCCGCAAGGGTTTAGGGTTTAATTAGGGGGTTTAGGGTTGCAACAAGCTCTGGCGATTTGAGTGCTTCCAGGCTCATGGGTACGTGCAGGTAGGGTTATAAGTAGGATAACTATGGTTATAACTTTGTTCAGGGTACTTATCACCCCACTTCTAAGTACCTATGAACCTCCAAGTACCCAAAGCCGAGGTGAAGGACGGCTGCAAGAACATGAGCATGCCGACGCCTCGGAGTGTCAAGCCCGAGCTCAACACACAGTCAAAGCAGCACAGAGGGTTTAGGGTTTAGGGTTTAGGGTTTAGGGTTTAGGGTTTAGGGTTTGCTAGAGTTTCCACCCTAATCCCTAAGCCCTCTCAAGTTGTGTTCCATTGTGGGCTTTGGTCTGAGGTATTGCCTGCTGATGGTGGGCCTGATGTGCAGCTTGCAGGCCACCCTGAGATGGTGAGCCCCAACCCCTGGAACCTGAAATCCGTTCAAGGTCGAGTTTTGGGCCCATAGGTATTAGGGTTTAGGGTTTAGGGTTTAGGGGTGCAGAAGAAGAAGGCAGGCAATCCTAACCACCCTGAAGCTGGAGCATTCGAGCATGAGGCACAGCATACGAAGCAAGATCTGCTGATCGGCATCTAAACCTTCTAAAGCCTAAACTAGGATGCCCAGTAGTACCCTTATTCCCTTTTTGGGGGGTTTAGGTTCCCTTATAAACCTCTTTAAGCAAAAAAGGGCACCCTTTTGTCGCCTAGGTTACTGGGCAGCCTAGTAAACACTATACCCTACCAAGAACCTAGCCTCGCAGTTACCTCGAAGCCCTCAACACCCTTTGAACCCCAAAAGCCCTCTGAAACCTGATGGGGGTTTAGGGTTTAGGGTTCTGAAACTCTTCTTAAGGGTGGGCAATTAGCCTTTAACTTTTTTGCTATATATAATCCCATTTTAAATGAAAGATTAACCTTGTTTGGGCTAGGGTATTCAGCCCCTTAGGCGGAAAAAAGCCTCATAAAGACCCCCCTCCCCCCCCTTCCCCCCAAAAAAAACAAATTAAACAAGAGCCCTCTACAGCCCGATCAGAAAAACTAACCGACTCACACAAGCCTTCAATGCCCTAAACTGTAGGCCCACTAGAATGAGGCCTTTTTCGAGACTTTGGCCCTTCTCGGAAGCATCGCGGGACGAAGGACCAAAAAGAAGGGACAAAGGGTTCAGGGTTTGGGGTTTACGGGTTAGGCTTTAGGGTTTTGGGCTCTTAGGGTTTAAGGGTTTTATGGTGAACATCAGCTTGGGACGGCGGAGATGTACCTTGGGGCGAAATCAACCCTGAAATTGGGATTGGAGACCCTGTACCACTACAATCCTGATGACGTTATATGCGCCAGAAGCCTTTTGTTGTTCTTTTTGTCCCGAAGCTTTGGGGTTTTGGAGGCCGAGAGGTGTTTCATCGTGCCGCCGGCCTCCCTGGATTCCCTTCAAGATCTCAATTCAGGCCCTTTAGGGTTTAGGGTTGGGGTTTAGGGTTATATAAGCCCCTAAACTTACCCAGAAGCCCCCTCCCCCCCCCCTTTCCGGTAGGAGTGTCACAGTGATTCGGGGCTTCGCGCTCCTGGGAGTTCGTGGGATACGGCCATGGAACTGCCCCAAACCCCAAACTCAAACAGCGCCACCCCCGCCCCTAAACCCTAAACCCTATAAACCCTAAAAAGCACCCACCCCCACCGCCTCTGCCCACCCCCAAATTCCACTAAAACAAACCCAAGCACGCCCCCAACAATCGCAAACCCACCACAAGAAAAGCCATCAAACACAAACAAGAACCCTCTTGAACCCACCCCCTTCCCCGCCGTGAACCCTGAACCCTGAACCCTAAACCCCCTCCCCCCAAAGCGTATCCGAGTGCAAGAAAACATTGCTTTCCAAGGACCACCAGCACCATCGTCTCACCAGGCTCTCGCTATGGTCCCAGCATGTCCCAGCGGCTAGGGGTTCAGGGTTTAGGGTTTAGGGTTTAGGGTTTAGGGTTTAGGGTTTAGGGTTTAGGGTCGACAGGGCTTCCAATGCTTTATGGGTTTTAGGGCTTGATGGGGGTTCAGGAGTCAGATTTAGGGGTTCATAGGGTTTAAGGTTTAGGGAGTTAGGCGCTCTTGGGCGTGGTTGCGGCTTTTGGTGAGTTCATAGGGTTTAGGGTTTAGGGTTTTGGGTTTAGGGTTTAGGGTTAGTGAGTTTCGGGTTTATGGTTTAGGGTTTAGGGTTTAGTGTTGGGATGTTCCCCCTCATAGGGGATTACGAATCGGGGGTACTATACTCCCTATTAAGGACTGTTCGTATAAGGGGGAGCATCCCAAGGTGTAGAAGTTGAGGGGGTTGAGGGGGTCAGGAGTTAGGGTTTAGGGTTTGGGGTTTAGGGTGTAGGGACTTAGGTCATCCGCATCCTCTACCAGGGACTGGTACGACAAGGGACACTGATTCCAGACCGGACCGTATCTGAGTAAGGTTCTGGAGTATGGGTGCTTGGGTTGTACAGGGTAGATAAGGAGTACATAATTCAGGGGCCCCCTTTTAAGGGCCCATACTAAGCGACCATGAATTTACCCTAAGACGGGAAGGGGCCATGTTTCCTTGTGTTTTTGTGTTTGGTGCTGCTTAACCCTAAACCCTAACCCTAACCCTAAACCCTAAACCCTAAACCCTAAACCCTCTGATGGAAAGCTTTGGGCGGAGTTCAGGTGACAACGTGACCACCTACACGACGCAGGCTCGTCAAGCGTTTTTTCCGAGCCTCCATCTTTCTAGCCCAGTAGTATACCCTTTATACCCTTTTTAATTTTATGGCTTCCTTTTTTAATTAAAGTAACCAACCCAAAAAAGGGTGCCCTTATTATTATTATGACTATAATAATAATAATAATAACTATTATTATTATTATTAATATTATTATTGTTATTATTATTATTATTATTATTATGTTGGACCCTCTTTAGTGTGTTGGGCCCCCCCCCCCCCCCGAACAGTTGAGGCGTGGATGGGAGCCTGATTACACGGCCCCGGGGGCTTATATGATTTCAATAGGGAGGAGTTTAGATAGGTTTAAAAGGGGCAGCGATGCCCGGTTATCTTTTTTAAAGGCGCGCCACGTGGAATTTTCTTACGGCGCCCGGACGGTTTGACTTTAAAGGAGACCCCGCAAACAGTCAGGGGCTCCTGAATAATTTGGCCAAATTGACTTTAAAGGGGAGGCCCCTACTAAAGTGGGTCTAACATTAAGGTGGTTACTTGCCAAGTCATGGGCGCAAGGCATTCTGGGCTTGGTCAGGTCCTGGCTACGTCGTTTTTTTTTGTTTGCTTCGGCATGGCGCTTTCAGAGCTCTACTGGTAGTGTTAAATCTGGACGCTTTTTTTGCCACAAGCTTCACTTTCCCCTAAACCCTAAACCCTACACCCTACACCCTACACCCTACACCCTGCATCTTTCTTCCTCGATCCCCCGCCCCGTGCCTTTGCCTGCTCACTTCCCCAGAGGGTCCGTGTGTAGTACCATTATGGCATTAGGTACCCGAAAACCCTTCTACATAGGGTTTTGGGGTGCCATATCCAGAATAGTGGTACAAATGGACCCTCTGGGTTCCTCAATCTGTTCACGGACATCTTCTTCCGACTTGCGAAGAAATTGTTCTGACACGTGCATGCTGCCCTAAACCCTAAACCCTTAGCCCTCAGCCCTAAGCCCTAAATGGACCTTCAGGGGTTTAGAGTTTTAGGGTTGAGGGTTTTAGGTTTAGAGGGTTTTAGAGGGTGTTAGAGGGTTCCGAGGGCTCAGAGGATTTAGGGGGTTTAGAGAGTTTAGAGGGTTTTTCCCCCTCCCTTTTCCTTTCCCTTTGTGCAAAACCTCGCGGGAGCCCTCGAAGGTCACGACCCACCCCTTCTTCGACAAGTCGCAGGGTGTGGTGTACAACGCCAGGGGCTTTGTAGTGCTTAAGGTTTTGGGGTCAGGGTTTAGGATTAACGAGAGAAAATTCCTAACCAACGAGATTTTGGAGTTTGGAGGGTTTAGGGCTTAGAGGCTTGCAGCACCGCATGCCAAGGCTGCTGTTCTCCCTTGGAGGGACGTGAGCCCCCCCCCCCCCCAACAAAGGGTTTGTGGCATCCGTATACCTGAAAAGGGATTCTGGTAGTACAGGGCATGTGACCCCAACTTGAGGGTTCATTCCCTAAACCCTGAACCCTAAACCCTAAACCCCAATTTGAGGGTTCATTTGGTCCCAAGGTAGGAGTCTTGGGGCTGTTTTCGTGCACTGAAAACCTTGGGGAATCTCGAGGTTCAAAGGGGCTCTTTCTGTTCCTGAGGCCAGGACTTTGATGCAAGCGCCCAAGTGTAGGGTTTAGGGTTTAGAGTATAGGGTACAGGGTATAGGGTTTTCGGGTGCCCTGCAGCCGCATCCCCTCGGACAGAATTCTCTGAGCCCTGACACCTTGACAGCTTCTCAAGCTTGAGCCGCAAAATCTTCTTCTTTATAAGGGTCATACGGGGATTATGAACTTTCATGTTTGGGGGGGGGCTCTCCAGCACATACTCTCCAAAACAGAGCTTCCCTCACCATCCCGATTCCCAGGCTCAGTCGGCGCTCCTCATCGCGAGCCCACTGGAACCCACCTCAGTGCAGGGCTTTTGTGTGCGGACGTTCGGAGGATTGCTTGTGGCTGAGAAAGTTGAGTGTTCCTGTTCTGCGACACAAACACCTCTCCAAGTGTTACTTCATACCTGTAACATGAGCTTCTTCTGCTGCGGCTCTAGACTTTGGTGTTTGCGAGACTGGTGTTTGCGAGACCATGACCATGACCATGAGGGCCCAACGACCCCCCCCCCCCCCCCAAGCCGCGAGGTCATGGTCTTAGCAGCAGTCTTGGCGTACTACACCTACAGCGCCCTGACAGCAGAGCCGCAGAGGGCGTTCTTGGACGCCTCAAGCGAAGCCTGAAATAGGCCCCAGCATCCCTGCCTGTACGTCGGGCGCCCCTGCGTGCCACACACGGCAACCTTCTGCCTAGGGAAGCCCTTTGTTTCAAATTTTAAGGCTGTTTATGGTTTTGGGCTTCGCCCAAACCTCCCGTGGGAAGACCATACAACCCCAAACCCTAAACCCCAAACCCTAAACCCCTAAACCCCTAAACCCTAAACCCTAAACCCTAAACCCTAAACCCCCCTTGGGAAGACCATGCCCCTCGCATCTGAGATGAGTTCTCCACGCCCCTTTTCCCCGACGAGGATGCCGAGCCCGCCCCCCAGCAGAGGGGCACCTTATTTTTTTTGGGTTTAGGGTTTAGGGTTTAGGGTTTAGGGTTTAGGGTTTAGGGCTTCCGGACTTGGGTATGCTTACCTGGGCGTTTCTCAGAACAGGGCTCCCCCCCCCTCCCCTAAGTCCCCCAAATACCACATACCACCCACAGATAATTCCTGATCATCCTGATAAACAGAAGGAGCCCCCCCAAAAGTTTCGTAGGCTAGTGAGTTCCTAAGATTGCAGCCACGTGCTGCATTCTGAGTTAAAGTAAAAAGCTCCTACATGGAGAAAAGGTTTTCGCGCTCCATATACCCTGATAGGGTTTAGGGTACCCTAAACCCTAAACCCTAAACCCTAAACCCTAAACCCTAAACCCTAAACCCTAAACCCTGATAGGGTTTTCAGGATTCTACTAGCATTGGATAGAGGATCCCAATTCCGCATGGCGTGGATGATCCCAAGTTTCACCCAAAACCCTAAACCCTAAACTCTAAACCCTAAACCCTAAACCCTAAACCCTAAACCCTAAACCCTAAACCCTAAACCCTAAACCCTAAACCCTAAACCCTAAACCCTAAACAGACTTGCTCCCCAGGGCTGTAGCTCTCAGCCGGCGACACATGCCTAGTGCTAGGTCGGGCGCCATGTGGGGCGGAGGAGCGAGCTACGGCGTGGTGGCCCAAAGACCCGGTGTCTGTTGGGAATCTCAGTTTTCTGGGGTTTAGGAGGACTTGTTTCGGGGTGTCAAGAACGTACTTGGGGTGGTTCACACTATTTAGGGCCTCAGGCCTAGTGGCTAGTGGCGCGGCGCCACCACCTTTGGGAAAGTGGCGGAACCTATGAGGGTGGAGTTTGAGTCAAACCCTAAGCCTGTACGTCTACATCCCTCAATCCTGTCAATCCTGTTACTCTTGGAGCCGCCACAGAGTCCCTTCAACCTTCAACGCCACATCTCAGCAACTGGAGCCCAGAGCCCCCCCCCCCCCCCCCACAACGCCAAGAAGAGTCAAGCCAGGGACCTACAGCGGCGGGGCCACCAACTATGGGGATGTGCCCCGGCCAGGCAGTGGTGCAGGGCATAAGGACCTAAACCCTAAACCCTAAACCCTAGAGGGATTCCTGTGAGATTTAAAGGGTTCAAGGCTCGAAGAGTCGATCTAGGAGGACAAGAGGACCACATGAACCCCAAAATTAGGATCATATACCCTATAGTACTCTAATCCTAGTTAAGGTATATGAACCCTAAGATTAGGATCCTTTTATACCATAATCCTAATGTAGGTATATGAACCATAAACCTCTTTTAGGGTTCATTTGGTCCTTAAGGATAAGGTGCACGGCGTAGTAGGGATGGCTGTAGAGGCGTGCTTCCAAAATCGCGCAGACCACACCCAGGAGACTCCCAGAAGCGGATTCGCCTCACAACCTCAACGTCCCTCAACCCTCAACCCTCAACCCTAAACCCTAAACCCTAAACCCCTCAAAAATGCCTCAGCCACCCAAGCCGAAGCAGCACTCTCGGAGCCGAGGCCCGGCGTCCGGAGTCGGAGCCCCTGTGGCCGAAGGATCATAGACCCTTATACTACTTGAAGGCAAGTGGGGTTTAGGGTTTAGGGTTTAGGGTTTAGGGTTTAGGGTTTAGGGTTTGGGCCTACAGCTGGCTTGCTGGGGCACCAAATTTCACATGAAACTTCAAAAGTGGGATCCTACACTGTTTTTGTTATACTGCCTGCAATCCTTATGAGGATATGTGAAGCATAAACCTTTTAGGGTTCATGTTGGTCCTTCAGGTCGTTTGGTACACTTGTTTTTTCAGCATTTGGGATCATACACCCTATACTACCATATAATCCTTTTTAGCAAATCCTAGCATCCTTCTGAGGGCATATGGTTTTGGTCAACCCTAAACCCTAAACCCTAAATCCTAAACCCTAAGCCCTAAACCCTAAACCCTAAACCTGAAGGTTGTTTGCTGCACGTGTTTGTTTTGGCGCAGCAGCACCCGAGGCCTGCTCCACGACCGTCAGCTCCCCGTGCGCCTATCTTTGCCGGGTGCGCCCAGGGACGCTGTTAGGGTTTAGGGTTTAGGGTTCAGGGTTTAGGGTTTAGGGCTGAGGGCTTAGGGGCTGCCGCTGCCGCTGCTGGCACTGTCACTACATGATGGCGACTTGATTGTTAGCCTATGCTTGTTGCCGCTAGCTTCTGTCGTCGCTGGCTTCAGAGCTTCAGATTTGCTACGCACTTGGCGCCGTCTCTTCATCTGCAATCTTGAGAGGACGGGGCAGCGTCTTGGCAGCTGAGACCTACGACAGCGACCCCGCGTGTGTGCACATGCGGGCAAAAAACATGCGAATGGTGACCTCAGTGGCCGTGGCCTCTCGTCAGTCTACAGCTGTGCACCCTAAACCCTAAACCCTAAACCCTAAACCCTAAACCCTAAACCCTAAACCCTAAACCCAGGCATCTGGGGCCGGGCTACTAGTGCTGAAGGGAGGCTTCCTGCAGGACTCTTTGCGTCCTGGTTCAGGAGTCCTTCGGCTAGATCCTATACACCCTAAACCCTCAGTATCGGGTCTATGATGATCCCAATTTTAGGGTAGTAGGATATGATGACCCCAATTTGTGGATAGTAGTATAGGATCTATGATGATCCCAATTTGAGGCTAGTGGTTATAGGGCCTATCATCCCAATTTTAGGGTAGTAGTATAGGGTCTATCATCCCAATTTTTAGGGCAGTAGTATAGGGTCTATGGATCCCAATTTTAGGGCTCATGCGGCTCCCAAGGTTCCCCCTTTTGAAGCCCTGAACCCTGAACCCTAAACCCTAAACCCTAAACCCTAAACCCTAAATTCTAGACCCTAGACCCTAGACCCTAAACCCTAAACCCTAAACCCTACATCCCTTCCCGTTGCAAGCAGCTTGGCTCAAGCTGATGACGCGCTTCCGTAGGTTGGCATGCTCGAGACTCAGCCTCGAGCCCTAAACCCTAAACCCTAAACCCTAAAACCCTAAACCCTAAACCCTAAACCCTAAACCCTAAACCCTAAACCCTAAACCCTAAACCCTAAACCCAAACCTTCTGGTTGTATTCTTTTCCTTAGCCAAGCTAGTCTTTCGGGGGGCTCTAGGGGCACCCCTGAGCCCCCTGAGCCCCCTGAGCCCTCGAAACCCTCGAACCTTGCACCGCTGGGGGGTCAATGTCGCGGACGTTTTGTTGCTCAGCACAAGACTCTTCACAACAGAATGAAAAGGTTCACGAGCCCGCGGCATTTTGAACATCGGGGTGCGGGCTGAAGAGTTTCTTTCATGAGCGATTTGCATTCTGTCAGGTGGTCCTGGAGCCGGATATCCTATTTGAGCTGAGTTGCTAATCATGGGAAATTTCTGAGGCCCTCAGAAGAGGCCCCGTAAGGAAGGCCCCAGAAGAGGCCCCCAAAAGAAAAGGCCCAGGGTTCCAGGGTTCAGGGGTTCAGGGTTCAGGGTTCAGGGTTCAGGGTTTAGGGTTTAGGGTTTAGGGTTTAGGGTTTAGGGTTTAGGGTTTGCTCCGCAATAGGAGGAGGCCCCAGAGGAAGCCGGAAGAGGCCTTGAGGCTGAGGGCTTTAGGGGTTATCGGTTGGGATGTTCCTCCTTCTACTAACAGTCCTTAATGTTATAATCCCTAGTAAGGCCTGTTGGACAAAGGGGGAACATCATGAACATCCCAACCTATGCTACGATGATCCCTTCTGATGTAATACGGACCATAAGCCCAAACCAACCCTAAGCCCTGAAACCTTTTCGGGGCTCAGGGAAACAGGCTTTAAATTACCCACCATTATGGGGTTGTGGGTTTAGGGTTCAGGGTTCAGGGTTCAGGGTTTAGGGTTTAGGGTTTAGGGTTCAGGTTCAGGGTTTAGGGTTTAGGGTTTAGGGTTTCTCAGGTTGAAAGGGTCGATGCTGAAGGTCTGGATCGGCGCCAGAGCGCACGGGGGACCGCGAGGGAGAGGACCGATGTCGGAGGTCCTAAAACCCCAAACCCTGAAGCCTAAACCCTAAACCCTAAACCCTAAACCCTAAACCCTAAACCCTAAACCCTAAACCCTAAACCCTAAACCCTAAACCCTAAACCCTAAACCCTAAACCCCAAGCAGCTTCACGATTTAGGAAGTCAGGGTCTGGGATGCAGCTGGGGGCATGTTGCAACTGGATACTTTTTTTGGACATGTCTTGCCGATTTCTGAGCAATGCCTTGCATTGGGTGTGACACTTTGGGATGTTCCCCCTTATACTAACGAGGGATTCTCGCACCCCCCCTATGATAAGCTCCATCAAGCACTGCAAGCACAAGGGAAATCCTAAGTGACAATCTTGTGTTGTGTTCTTCTTCTATGTTCTGTGGGTGAGGGCGAGATACCCTAGTCCCAAGCACGTCTGAGCTTAGGGACTTTTTGAATTTAGGTTTGGTACTATAATTCCCGAGAAGCATCGAAACACATAAACAAAAAAAAACAAATTGCCAGGGTTCCAAGTTCAGTATAGTGATAGCTACCGCTTCTAATTAACCCTAAACCCCAAACCCCAAACCCTAAACCCTAAACCCTGCAGGTCTGGCGGCTTGTGGGTGAGGTCTGGCGCTTTGTTAGCTGCCTGAACCCTAAACAGGGTAGATGACCCTGCGCCCTCAGCCCGAAACCCTTAAACATACCTTACTTGCACAGGGTCCCTAAACCCTAAACCCTATATGATCCCCAAATCTTGGGGTGTGGTTGGTCCTCAAGGTTCCCTAGACCCAGGCCCTCCAAAACCTCTGGAGATCTTCTCTGGCCTAAATGAAATGAAAACTTAAGCCTAAACTCCCTCAACCCTGCACCCTAAAAGGATGCAGCGTTCAAACTCCCTCAACAGGAGTTATTGAAAGTATGTGATAGTCGATCCCAATGTAGTGTTCGGTTTCGTGTAGTCCCTTCGATTTCTCTTCAGGGCATCCATCTTTGGCGTCAGCTTCCATCTCCCGCAGGAGTCATCCCATGCAGCTGCGCCAAAGGTCGCTTTGCAGTTGGAAGAGAGGTAGGGGGTTTGGGCTTCAGGGGTTTCGGGTTTTAGGGCTTTAGGGTTTAGGTAGGGTTGTAGGGTTTTAGGGTTTAGGGTATTAGGGTGTTTGGGTTTAGGGTTGCTCATGAACACTCTTCTTCTCGGCCTCTCTTATGCCAACGACCCGAGGGTATGCTGACCTCAGGGTACAAAGCGACTGCTCGGAGATGGGGTTGGAGAACCCCCAAACAAGCAACCCTGACTCCGAGCTTTCGGGATCAGCAACCTTATCAAGACCCTAAACCCTAAACCCTAAACCCTAAACCCCAAACCCTAAACCCTAAACCCTAAACCCTAAACGGTTCATAGTTCTTATAGCCCCAATAAGGATTAGAGTAGTATATATATATATATATGGGGGTTTGCGATCTTTCGGGGTCCTTATTCTAAGAACATCCTACTATTTGGGGGTCTATAGTAGGGGTGCTTATTCTAAGGGAGTCCGACGATTTGGGGTCTATATTCGGGATCCCGCATTGTGGCAAAAGCCACAAGCCATATGATCCCCAAGGAATCAAAGTCCCAAAACCCTAAACCCTAAACCCTAAACCCTGAACCCTAAACCCTAAACCCTAAACGTCCCCATCCAAGGCTCTAGAGGACCTTCGAAAGGCCCTTGCCGGCGGTGCACCATCGGGGTCGGAATACTCACTAATCGTCTCCCCTTCTGTTCCCTGCAAAAATGTACTATCATAACCCCCAAGACCCATTCTAACCATTAAGGCCTGGCTCATTGTTAAATTTCTTTTTACCGGCTTATGCATACTTTAACCCTACTAGTAGAGTAGGTAACCTTTAACCTTTTTGGGGTAGTATCATCCCCTTATAATCCCAAAGGTTAACCTTTAATTCCCCCAGGTTACTGGACAACTAGGTTACGTAACCCAATAAGGAAAAATGGTGATGTTAACAATGGTGCAGAGGCCCCTGGACTACACCATTTGGGGCTGGGGGGCTCAGGGTGCCGGAGCCCCGAACCCTAAACCCTAAACCCTAAACCCTAAACCCTAAACCCTAAACCCGAAACCCTAAACCCTAAACCCTAAACCCTAAACCCTGCAGAGGCCATCCAAGCATACCAGGAAGCTCGGAAAGCCACTGGCGAACCGTCCAAAGCCATCGACTCGTCTGGAGAAGCCTCGCAGGCGGCATGGACTGATCAGATGCCCAAACCTTTCACTATATCCCCTTGGGAATTATTATTAATTTTTGGTTTTATAAAACCCAAGAGGATATTAACAATTATTTTTTTTAGGCTTCTAAGAGGAGTATAGTTAAAGGTCGTGAGAGACCACACCGGAGCCCTGCAAAGCGCTAACCCCCCTCCACGAATCAACGCAAGGAGAGAGGGGGTTTTGGGTTTTGGGGTTTGGGGGGGGGAGTCTGTTTTCAGGTTGGGGACCCACAGGCCTCCCCCCCCCCCCCCCCCCCCCCCCCCCCCCCCCCGCCATGACAACCACTAGGATTCAAGCAGGAGCTTTGCAAGGCCCCCCAAAATTCCCAACATTTGCAACCTGAACCCGAAAACCTAAAACCTAAACCCTAAACCCTAAACCCCTCTACCCTAAACCCTAAACCCTAAACCCCCCAAACCCTAAACCCTAAACCCCTTAACCCTAAACCCTAAACCCTAAACCCCTCAACCCTCTGCTCAAGTGGCGGGCCATCCTGTTGAACCCTAGGCCGGGACAGCTAGCTTGGTGACCAGAGGAACATTTTGGAGATGGGATCATTGTTTGGGGTTTAGGGTTTAGGGTTTAGGGTTTAGGTTTTCGGGTTTCGGGTTTGGGGTTTAGGGTTTAGGGTTTAGGGTGAGTCATTTCCCCTGGTGCTCATTACACTACTTATAGCTCCTGTGAAGGTATAAGGGCAAGATCCGCGTTGTGATTCATTATGTGCCCAGTGATAAGTCCGAGCTTTCCCAGACCAGCTTAAGGAACAGAAGAAACAGATCCAGCAAAGGGAAAAGCTGGAAGAAGAGCTCCTGAATCTCTTCGAAAAACTGGTGCCGGTACAGCCGACATGCATTCAAGTGTCGGGAGGTGTGGTTTAGCGTTGAGGGTTAAGGATGCCTTTGGTGTGTGAGTCACTTAGCGAGTGTGCTGCACCGCTCCAACAGACCTTCGCAAGGCCCTGCTTGCAAACCGCTTTGCAGAAACCGGTTTAGGGTTGGCGGCTTAGGAGTTTGGGGTCTGTTATTGCAGGGTGGCAGCGGAAAGCATGCTTCAGTGCCCCCCTAAAACCTAAACCCAAAACCCTAAACCCTAAACCCTAAACCCCCCCTCTCCCCTCCACTCCCCACTTCCCGATAGGAGTCGAAGGGAGGGGCTTCGAAGCCGAAGAACGACCTGAGGGGCCTGCTGGATCAGCTCGAGGATGATAGCTTGTTTGCCCCTTGGAAGGAAGGCTGCAGGTTTAGGGTTTAGGGTTTAGGGTTTAGGGTTTAGGGTTCAGGGTTTGGGGTTTGGGGTTTGGGGTTTAGGGTAGGCGGTTTTTTGAAGCTTTCAATTCGAGTTCGTCAGGACGAGAGGTTAACGAATTCAGCCGCAGGGTCAGTTCCTTGAGATGCCATGACAGATCGCGGGGATCTGTCCCCTGAATGTCTTCAATCCAGAAAACCTTGAACACCGACCCACGAGCCGATAGCTCCTAACCTTCCCAACTTGTTCCGACCCATCGTTGGCTCCTAAGCTAGGGGACCCTAAACCCTAAACCCTAAACCCCAAACCCTAAACCCCAAACCCTACAAGAATAGCCGTTCCGCTTGGAAAGTGCGATGTATCTGTGCATCTCGACCTTTCGAAAGCGTGGATGTCACTGAAGTAGCTGAGCTCCAGGGGGTTGCGCTTGGAGAGCAAAAGGAAGGACCCAAAAAACCTCTTCAAACCTAATTAAACCTTGAAGCCTAAACCCTAAACCCTAAACCCTAAACCCTGAACCCTGAACCCTGAACCCTGAACCCTGAACCCTGAACCCTGAACCCTGAACCCTGAACCCTGAACCCTGAACCCTGAACTCCTACGTTGGGCATGGATGGCCTCACTGAGGAGGACGAGACTGTTCTTTGCTTGGCGATGCGCTCGACGCCTGCCGTCACAGCAAGGCCGGCGCATGTGTCCTTTTGTGATCCGCTTGCGTGCGTGCGTGCGAGCGTTTTTTTGTCTTTCGGTGTGTGTGTGTGTGTGTGTGTGTTTTTTTTTGTTTGTTTGTGTGTGTGTTCGAGGAGAAATTGGCATTCACTGAATGGCATCCTAGATTCAGGCATATGCAAAGTTCTGGCCATTACAAAGAAATCCGTCTCGGGGCTACGAAATTTCATGGGGCATACAGGGTGAGTTCTATATAGGCAGAAGGTGCACAGCTCTTTCATGTCAAACATGATGTTTAAAAGGGCACTTGACTATGCACCATTGGATTCCGTCTGGGACTTTGATGGTCTCGTGCACCATGGGTTTAGGGGTTTAGGGGTTTAGGGGTTTAGGGTTTGTAGGGTTTAGGGTTTAGGGTTTAGGGTTTAGGGTTTAGGGATAGTTGCGGGCCAGTGGCCACGTAGGCTTCTCAAGTTGTCAAAGGCAGCAGCAAGGCCAATTCCAGTATCCTTCTTCAGCCCCAACCCTTGGTCCGCGGCTCTCGCACAAGAACCTTAAACCCTAAACCCTAAACCCTAAACCCTAAACCCTAAACCCTAAACCCTAAACCCTAAGCCCTAAACCCTAAACCCTAAACTGCCCGCCGGTGAGGGTCTGGGAACGGACAGTGACAGTGGCCCGGCACGGAGAGATGTCGCCTCGATTTGTGCGGCACGTGGTTTTTTTGTTGCTTCAGGTGCAGGGTTCTCAGAGCCCTAAACCCTAAACCCTAAACCCTAAACCCTAAACCCTAAACCCTAAACCCTAAACCCTAAACCCTAATTCATGTTAAACTTCGCGGAAGTGAGTCGATCAGCTTCTCCATTCAAAGGCTTGCTGGTTTTGCTGGAGGCTCGTATGGTGCGGTGCATGGCAGCATGTCGTGGAAGTGTCCTTGGGCTTGCCGGATTGAAAATAAGTAGGGTTAAGGTTTTAGGGCTCCCTAAACCCTAAACCCTGAACCTTAAACCCTAAACCCTAAACCCTAAAAACCCTAAAGCACGTTGAGGATGATGTATCTCCGAATCCAAAGCAAGCAGGGTGCTTCCTTTGAGCAGGAGCTCCAGATACCGCCTCGACCCCGTCCACCCAACCCTACACCTGCACCTAGCTCAGACCCCCCAAGCCCAAAATCCCATAAAGCCCAGAAGCCCTATCAACCCCACAAGCCCTGTAAACCCTATTCACCCTATATACCCCATACCCCCTTATACCCTAAGCCAGCTCTTACAGGGCCCAAGGGCCTGCATGAATCCCACGTCTGCCAACCTGCCGAATCACTGAGGCGACGCAGAAGCTCCGTGTACCTTGGGGAATACTTGGTAGCCCAGTGGCATCCTTTTGCCTTCTTTGGGTTCAAGTTTCCCTTCTAGAGTATCCAGCCCCCAAAAACAGATACCCTTACTTTTTATGTTTTACAGCGCGCTGGATCTGAGCCTCCCGGGCATCGATGCAAGGATTGGAGAATCCTGAAAGACCTAATGAACGCCTGCAGGTGAGTAGGATGGGACATTACAGAAATTCGGAAAGTTAGGTTTAAAGTGGGCACGAGGCTTCTGATGATTGGGGAGCAACCCGCGACACGAAATCGAATGCAAGCTGAATCCATGTGACCTTGCTACCCAGATCTCTATCATGGAAGAACCAAATAGGTTATGGGAGGAAGTTCTGCAGACAATTAAGAGCACGACGGGATGGAGCGCACCCTTACTATAATATAGTTACTGGGCTAGCAAGACTGATATTGGTGAGTGTATAATAGGGTTCCTTATAAATATTGGTGAGTGTAGATATTGGGTGTCCTTTTGGGGATACTATAGCAATACAAACCCTGTTTCCAATGAACCCTGAAAGGTTTCAGGATTTAGGGTTGGTTTTGGGTTTATGGTCCGTATTGCATCAGCAGGAATCATAGCAGCATAGGGGCCAAGATCCCATTTTAGGGTACTCTTGGTCCCCAACCAAGGCCGAGGAGGATGAGATCCACACACAAGCCGTCGCGGGCCCCTCAGGTTTCGGGACCTTGAGGGCTTGTTTGGGGCCAACAGTGAGGCCTAGGGCTAAATCGGGCCGAAGGTGGGTTCTCCTTCATGCATCCGCATCTTTTGGATTCGTTCGCTCGCCCTCCCCCGCCCTCGTGCAGCAGGTGCTGACGATCGAACGTGCAAGATACAATCCGTTTGTCGTCCATTCCAGCTTCGTGTTCCGTTGCACGACATGGCGCTGCACCCCTATGTTGCCTGCGTTAGGGGGATCTCTATAAAGTTCAGCCTGTTATGTATTTCTATTGCGGTGAAAAGACCCACACCCCGAGTCTAGACCCTCTAGATCCAACCCGCTCAGGACAAGGCGATCGACACGTCGAATGCCACGCACGCCATGGTGATCCTGGATGGCATTCGCAAAGTTTGTTTCCGCATGTTCCTGTGTGGAGCCAGCACCCCCTCCACCCCCAGCCCCCCCCCACCAACCACAACAGCTAAAAGTTGCGCCGGACGGCTGTCATCTGTTCAGCAGAGTATGTCCCGGATCCAGGATCTTCATGGACAAGACGAGGTGCCTTTGCCAGCGGACAGAACTCCTTGTTGAGCTTTATCGTCCATCGGAACGCCTGCCACATAAACCGAGAGACCTAGAGAATCCAAGAGACCCCAAGCCCTAATCCCCTAAGCCCCGGGTTTGGGGTTTAGGGTTTAGGGTTTAGGGTTTAGGGTTTAGGGTTTAGGGGTTGCAGGGCCTAAACTCCTTAAGCTCTAGCTCTTTGATGGGTCGGTTGTTTAGGGATTGGGGTTAGAGTTCAAGTTTTAGGGTTAGGGTTTAGGGTTTAGGGTTTAGGGTTTAGGGTTTAGGGTTTAGGGTTTAGGGTTTAGGGTCTAGGGTCTAGGGTCTAGGGTTTAGGGTTTAGGAGCCGCAGTCATCTTTCGTCCTTAGGCATGAGCACTACCGACATCTCATACTCTTCGACGCTCGGTCTGCAATTTAGTTTAGGGTTTAGGGTTTAGGTTTTAGGGTTTAGGGTTTAGGGTTTAGGGTTTAGGGTTTAGGGTTTAGGGTTTAGGGTTTAGGGTTTAGGGTTTAGGGTTTAGGGTTTAGGGTTTAGGGTTTAGGGTTTAGGGGTACCAAGACCATCCCCTCAAATTTCAGATTAGAAGCTACCCTAAGAACCCAAAGCCCTTCTTTGTAGGCTATTACTCTAAAGCCCCTGATAGGATTCTTAGGTAACCTACGATTTTTTTAAGTTTTGGGCTCTGAAGGTACCTAAAACACCCACATAGGCCCCTGCACATTAGACTGGACAAGCCCCCGCGCCACCCATTGGTCCCTAACAGGCCTCGGGCCATTGGAATCGATACTAGGACCCGGAGTAGGCCTTTATATTTCCTTTCTTTCGGGTTGGGGTTCCTTATAAACCCTAAACCTTAAGCCCTAAGCCCTAAACCCTAAGCCCTAAGCCCCAAGCCCTAAGCCCTAAGCCCTTTTTATTCATTGGTTCCGCCTGGGTCTAGTATATCTCCCTCTCAAGCTCTCCGAGAACTGCGCGGGTAGATCCCCATTCCTAGGTTGCCTTGTGGGATATTATCTTGTATTTGCCTTGTTTGGGTGTACTAGGGGCCCTATATGGAGATATTTTCAGTGGGTTTAAAGGCCAGCCCAGTTTCTAACTGGGAATCTGGAAGTGCCCTAAACCCTAAACCCTAAACCCTAAACCCTAAACCCTAAACCCTAAACCCTAAACCCTAACCCCAAACCCTTTCAGAAGTTTGGCTGCTCAGTCTTCGGTTTCGAGATGTTTCGCGGATGGTGGTCAAGGTGCCTGAAAGAAAAAACCCTAGACCCTAAACCCTAAACTCCTAAACCCTAAACCCTAAACCCTAAACCCTAAACTAGGCCTGGGCTCTGTGGTTTCGGGCTCGAGAGCTCGAGGCCTTCCCCAAAGCTCGGGCGCCTGAGGCTGCGGAAGACTTGCAGCCGTAAGTGGCCCTTCCGTAGTGTCTTAGGGTTTAGGGTTTAGGGTTTAGGGTACCCTCCTTGGCAATGAAATGAGCCCTACACCTCTGCCTTTTTATGCAAGCCCTATATTCAGTTGATACGGACAATGAAACCCCACTTCAGGGCGCTACCTCCTCAACCCTAAACGGCCCTGAACCCTTGCAAGTCCCTTAAGGCGTAGAGTTTTGCTTTTCTTGAAAGGATTGGGAGGCCATCTGTGGGGCGTTTTGCTACATGTTCGTGCGCCCTGGCAGGGAGTTGTGGAGAGGGGGTGGTGGTTTAGGGCCTCGGCTTGCAGGGCTTACGGGGCTTTATAGGGCTGCTGGGGGGGGGGGGGTTATAGCGTTTATAGGGCTTAGAGGGTTTCTGACCTGAATAGTTTGGAAGAGAGAGGGTTTAGGGCTTACTCTGGGAAGGGTACCCTAAACCCTAAACCCTAAACCCTAAACCCTAAACCCTAAACCCTAAACCCTAAACCCTAAACCCTAAACCCTAAACCCTAAACCCTAAACCCGCCAGATTTCTGCCATGGGGCCTCTCCAGAGCTCAGCAGAATCCCAGGTCCCCGCTGTGCGGGACATCGGAGACCTTGAAGAGGCCAACCCTGCTCTATCTCTTGGCTTAAGCCCTGCACCCCCAAACCCTAAACCCTAAACCCTAAACCCTAAACCCCAAACCGCAAACCCTAAACCCTAAACCCTAAACCCTAAACCCTAAACCAACCGCTGAGCTTCGCAAACCAAGATAGACCACCGGACCCTGGTTCCACCGGACCGTGGGCACCCAAACCCGACAAGTAGGATGCTTCACTTCTTTGAGTCAATAGGCTGTCAACTTCGGCTTCGGCATGCTTCGGCCCATTCCTTGACTTTAAGGTTTAGGGTTTGGGGTTTGGGGTTTGGGGTTTGGGGTTTGGGGTTTGGGGTTTGGGGTTTTTCGTTTAGGTTTAGGCTGAGAAGTCACCTGCTGGCTTGTATGCCTCTGCATGTTCCTTAAGGACCAAAATGAACACTACCCCCCAAACCCTAAACCCTAATCCCTAACCCGTGGAAAGGTTTATGGTTCATATGCCCGAACAAGTATTGCCACTATGGCATATGATCCCAAGTTTAGTGTTCCTTTGGTCCCCAAGGCAAAGCGCTTGGCTGCTGGGTAGTTGCTTGCGGGTGGCGTCTGAATCTGGTGAACGAGGGGCTTGAGGTCTAGGGTTTAGGGTTCAGGGTTCAGGGTTGAGGGTTGAGGGTTTAGGGTGGGTGGTGCGATGGCTGGATCATGCAATCCGTGGCGGGCACCCAATGAACCCTAGAATTGGGTTCAAGGTACACTGTACTACTGGAATCCTTACTAGGGTACACGAACCGTGAACCTCTTAGAGTATGTGAACCAGAAACCTTTCAAAGTTTCTTGCTTGAATTCAGTAAACCTATTGGAGAATATAAACCATAAACCTTTTAGGGTTCCTTTGGTCCTTCTGCCATCCACCTCCAAGCCACATCTCGTGGATGCGCGGAGACCGGCCGCGCACCCCGAAGCGAAGACCTCTCCTTCAAGCTTGCCCTAAACCCTCAACCCTAAACCCTATAAACCCTAAAAGCCCTTAAACCCTAAAACCCTAAACCCTAAAAACCCTCAACCCTACAAACCCCTATAAAGCCCTAAACTCTGAAGGATTTGCGACTTCCTGCTCTACCTCGACTCGGAGGCGCCACATCGGCCCCTAGCTAAAAAAGGCGCTGAAGCCGGAAGGAAGGGTTTAGGGTTTAGGGTTTAGAGTTTAGGGTTTAGGGTTTAGGGTTTAGGGAAGCCTTTCTGCTGAATGTGTTCTCACGATCTCAACAGGCCTAGAAGTCACCCAAAACATCGCTTGGAGTCGATTAATGACCAACTTGAAGACTTGCTTCCACCCTTTTGCCGCCTGCACTTACAGCATTCCTTCCTTCTCCATTTGTAGATTTAGGGTTTAGGGTTTAGGGTTTAGGGTTTAGGGGTTAGGGAGATTTCCTCTCCAACCAAGCTTTGGTTTTTTTTGAAAGCCCAGGAGACGCCAGCCTAAAGCCCTCAACCCTCAACATTAGCCACCAGGCCTCCACGAAAGTGGAGCTCGATGTGGATACGGCCGAGGAGATGAGGCAGATGAACGCCAAGCTCCAACAGGCCGGGCTCCGGGTGCTTGAGCCCTAAACGCATGGTAGCCCAGTGGTCTTTACCCTTATTATTATTATTGCTATTATCATTGTGGTTTCCCTTATAAAATAGCCAACCCAACAAGGGTGCCCTTGTCATAACATTACTGGGCTACCAAGAACACCTTCAACCCTGAACCCTGACTTAGGCTGCTTAGGTCTTCCAGTGGTCAAAAACTCGTCCCCACAAACCACACTTGCGGGGGGGGGTCGGCTCTAAAGGCTTTAGGGTTCAAGGGCTAGGGTTTAGGGTTTAGGGTTTAGGGTTTAGGGTTTAGGGTTTATAGGGTTTAGGGTTTAGGGTTTAGGGTCTAGGTTTGTCGAAGGCACTTTCTAGAGGCAAGGGCCTTGGGGATAGCAGTCACCTCAAAGAGGGTCCTATAAGGGTAAGCCTCCCCATATGACAGAACCTAGCTGAAGGGCCATTTTTGGAAAAGGCCTTTCAGCAAGGATCGCTTACTACAAGGACACAAGGAATACCGTTTAGGGTTTAGGATTTAGGGTTTAGGGTTTAGGGTTTAGGGTTTAGGATTTGGGGCTCAGGGTTTAGGGACCCTAGCCTCCAAGTCAAGACAGAAGCCGCCTTCCGCAGACGGCGGTCGCAATGGTCGAGTATCTCACCGACCACGTGCAGGATCTCAACCCTAAACCCTAAACCCTAAACCCTAAACACTAAACACTAAACCCTAATCTGTTGCATTTTTCTTATGACCCCCCAAATTGCGTAGAGGGGCCTCAGGCTTCTTGAGTTCGTGGATTGCGGGACGTGTGTACGACTTTAACCCTCAAGCCCCCTGCAACTTGAGATAATTGACAAGTCACATCAGAAACTCTGCGCGACTCCCCGAAGCTTTCCCGGACCTGAACCCTGGCCTGAGTATTAAGGGACTAGAGGACCCTCAGAAGGGATCTCAGGGGATATTTAGGGGGGAGGCTACTTAGCTATATAGGGACTATAGAAGGTATATATATATATATATATATGCATATAGGGGTGATAGATGGGGTTATATAGGGGAATAAGATTAAGGGTCCATCCTTCTACCCTTTTAAGAACATGTTCAGTAGACCCTAAACTGATTTGGGGCCCTCGGTTTCCTTGGAGACCTTCAAACGAAGCAGCGTCCTCCGTTGTTTCGCTGTGCCTTTTTTCACCGCCTATCCCCTGCAGACCCATGAAGCGCCATATTCACCCCGCAACCTTGCAGACGAACTGAACCCTAAGATTGCGATCTAATACCCTGGCGCTACGATGATCCCTGTGAAGAAAAATGGACAACATAGGCCCTGTGACGCAGCATGTAGTCCTCAAGGATCTCGTCAAACTAGCTGTGGCTAGCGACAAGAGTCCTCGATAGGGACCACCCAAACAGACTTGGGGGAACAGGGCTTAGGGTTTAGGGGTTTAGGGTTTAGGGGTTTAGGGGTTTAGGGGTTTAGGGGTTTAGGGGTTTAGGGGTTTAGGGGTTTAGGGGTTTAGGGGTTTAGGGGTTTAGGGGTTTAGGGGTTTAGGGGGTTTAGGGGTTTAGGGCTCAGGGCCTAGGGTTTTAGGGATCCTCCCCCCTCAAAGACACTCGAAGCTGCTCTCCACACGAGCCTCGGACTCTTACTCAGCTCCAAACACCCCAGGTCTTGCAATTTGTTTAGGGTTTAGGGTTTAGGGTTTAGGGTTTAGGGTTTAGGGTGTACGGTTTAGGGTTTAGGGCTTAGGGTTTGTTTGCTTCCTCTGCTGGGCCTTTTGGTTCCCAAGCATTGCTCAGGAGGAGCTGTGGTATAGCGATGAGGGCATCAACATCTTGCAAGACCTCCAGTTTCCCGCCTGTACATGGAGAGGAAAAGAGCCCGCATAACTGCTGCAGGCCCAAACCTTAGGCCCCGAAAGTTGTGCAAGCCTTAGCCGCTTCCCCAGAGGGTCCGTTTGTACTACGATTGTGGAATTACGTACCCCAAAACCCTATGTAGAAGGGTTTTGGGGTACCTAATGCCATAATGGTACTACAAATGGACCCTCTGGGTTCTTCTTTGAGGTATGCAGATGCCCGTCTGTTTTTCGCTCGGCCGCGCCTGCAGCGGATTCTGAGCGTGCGCTGGCTTGCAAGTCTGTCGGTGTCACTACGAGCCCTGCACACCCACAGCCTAACCTGCAGTCACTGGGAGTTTGATGTGTGTGATGTGTGGGACCCAAAACCCTGAACCCTAAACCCTAAACCCTAAACCCTAAACCCTAAACCCTAAACCCTAAACCCTACACCCTAAACCCTAACCCCTGAAGCTTAGAGAAGTGGAGCTGAAGGCTCTGGGATGCTTCAGGGCTTAGAGAAGGCTTTGGAGCAAGGAGCCGGTAGGCCGATTAGAGCCTCCGAGTCATGGAGCATGAGGGCGCCATGAAAGGGTTTAGGGTTTAGGGTTTAGGGTTTAGGGTTTAGGGTTTAGGGTTTAGGGTTTAGGGTTTAGGGTTTAGGGTTTAGGGGCTGTCACCCTTTTGGCAACCCAACGTTCAAGGATCTAGTTTGTGGTTTCGGGTTTAGGGATTAGGCTTTAGGGTTTAGGGTTTAGTTTATTCCCTTTGACTGTTGTTCTCACCGTGAACCAATGTTGCTGGAAGGACATGTGGCACCCACATTATGACCACAATGCTGGAGAGTATGTGTGGTACCTGCTGAAGCCCCTGTGCCTGCAAGTGTTTTTTATTCTCGCCTTCTGCTTACGGGATCTCGGGGTCAGGCTGTATAATTTATCAGGCTTTAGTTTCATCATCTTTGCGGGTGTCAACGCGATGATACTTAAGGTCCGATGCATTTTTGACCAATGCAAGAGATTGAGCCAAGCTGATCGACAGAGGCTTTTGCTGTTTTGCAGCCTTCCAACGTTTGGGTGAACGGGCACTGGGGCTCCCCAACACTTGACTATTATTTGCTTAAAAAACCAAAAGAATAAAAACATGATATTCGCTCTACTACCCGTAGTAAGGATTTTTTTGGTTCCGGGGTTCTTAATCCGAGCTCCTGTTTAATTGGTGGGGGGGCCCCCCCCCCCTCCCCCCCCCCACAATAAGGAAGGCAGGGTTCCGCAATAGTTGGACCATGGCCCCGTCAGATTCCAGAAAACCGAAGCCCCGGCTTCCTTAAAGTTTTTCCTTTTAAGCTTTAAGTCTTCTTTAAAGACTACAGGACCGGGGCTCCCCACGGGCCAGGGCTTCCCATAATTCTGGCCCCATTCTATTAATGTGACTCCGCCTTTCCCGGCCAGAGCCCGTAAGGGGTAGCTCAGGAAAGAATGAAAATTTCTGTCCTCCAGTAAGCAATCACATAAGAAATCCTTGCTTTCTGAAGGCCCTCAGCTTCCAGAAAACCGAAGCCCCGGCTTAGCAGATGTTTCACATCGACCCAAACATCCCTGCAGAAAAAAAAAAAAGCTTTCCGAAAGGCAGAGTTTCAAAATTTGACAACCCCCCAAAAAAATTTCTTTAAATGTGGAGGGTTTGGCCCATACGAAATCCATCGTAATGGAAAGTAGTCTTCCGGCGGGAATCCCGGCAAAAAAAATTCTTTAAATATGGGGGGTTAAATTAAACAGGAGCTCGGATTAGGCAATTGGTAGTTGCGAGCTTCACCAGAATGAGTCCTAGGCTCTGGACCGGCATGGTCGTGGGCCTGGTGGGTCTGATCCCTTGCGCCTTCTGCCCAAGCCTGGAGAGCCAGTTGGCAGAAACCTTCATTTTAGGGTTTAGGGTTGAGGGTTTAGGGTTAGGGTTTAGGGTTTAGGGTTTCGGGTTTCGGGAGGGGTTGAATTTGTCCGGTCAGGCGGTGTTTGGGCAGTTTATGGAGATCGTCCTGATGCCGGAAACCGGTGCCTCCCGAAACCCTCGACCTGAATCCTCAACCCAGTTTGCAAATCTTAGGGGCACCCCCCCAAAACCGAGCCCGTGAGGCATCCTCTTCGACCGGATGGTGGATGAGGAAAGGAATATCAGGCTACCTGTCGAAGATGGTTCTCCAGCTTGGGGCTTAAAAAAAAACCCTAAAATCGTGTGCCACACCCTCTGCTTCTTTTTTTGCAGGGACAACGTCGACATCAAGCCCCCTCACCCTCAACTAAACTTGCACCTGGACTCCCGAAGTATGCTTAAAAGCAGGCCGAAACCTAGAAAAAGGACCATGATTCTGCATATTTTTGGGGGGTTCAGGCAAACCTAAAGTAGTTACACAAGGCTTTCCCAAGGCTCCCCACCCCCCCACCCCCCAACACTTCGGTGTGCTGTCCACACGCCTCCCCTGCCTTGTCTCCATGCAGATCGCGTCCCTAAACCCTATAGCCCTGAACCCCAAACCCTCAACCCCATAACCCTCGTGTCACTACAACCCCGAGACCCCAAACTCCAAATTCTATAACCCCTAGGTTGGGTTGGTTTGGCCCCTGGGGCTTATGGTTGTTTCACCAAGGAAGGAGCACGCCGAGTCGAGCATGCACAAGCCCGACGAGGCTCCCTTTACGATACAGAGGGAGAACGCGTTATGGGGTTATAGTGTCATTGGGTTACCCTAAACCCTAAACCCTAAACCCTAAGGGTGACAGGGTTTTATAGGGTTTGAAAAGGCCTGAGAGTGGTGGATGCCCTGTGCGAAGCTTGGGCGCGTCCAGCGACACAAGACCCCTCCGATCCCTCTGACAACCCCCTTGGAGGCGCTCAATGATAGCAACCTGAAAACCATTAACAACCCCGAACAAAAAGGGGGAAACGACTAAACAACACCCTGAAAGCCCCAAGCACATTGAAAAATGACCCTTAAGCAACCCTCAAAAAGCCGACAAAACCCTTTAAAGAAACACCCGACAAACCTCAAAAGCCCCACTCATGAACACCATAGCGAACACCGCGAACACCACGAACAGCGCGAACAGGGCAACGGAGCGTTCATAAGTCCACTCATCTTCACCCTTGCACGGCGAAGTGTCTGGGAAGGCTGAGGGGAGGCGGGTTTGAGCGCCAAGTGTTGGAAAGTTTGGGGTGTATTTAGGGCAAAGGGTTTAAGGCTGGTTCCTCACTCACTCATCCCCGAAATGCGTAAACCCTCTATATCCCCTAAAGCCCTACACTGGGATTTCTCTCTGGTCTAATGTGGGGTCCTTATGACCCCTTATGTATTTGCCCTAAACCCTGAACCCTAAAACCCTAAAGACCCTAAGCCCTGAACCCTAAAACCCTAAACCCTAAACCCTAAAACCCTAAACCCTAAAAACCCTTAAAACCCTAACAAACCCTAAAAATTGAAAGACCATCCGACTGCTTCCTTCCGAAAGCCTGAGGGCACCTGGAGCGCGGTGAAGAGGCCCGACGCGATCAACAAGCAGAAGCAGAAGGCGGGAGTTTAGGGTTTAGGGCTTAGGGTTTAGTTTAGGGTTTAGGGTTTAGGGTTTAGGGTTTAGGGTTTAGGGTTTAGGGTGCCTGTTCGGAGTTTGCCAAGTTCACACGTACAGCCTCAACACCCCGCCTGCAAGTTTGCAACAGCCTCCGCATCCTGCAACGAACCTGCCACACCTGAAACCTCTCTGCCTCGTAGAACCTTGACCGGTTTAGGGTTTAGGGTTTAGGGTTTAGGGTTTAGGGTTTAGGGTTAGGGTCCCGCAGTTTAGGCTCTAGGAGTCGAAGGTTTCGGGTTTCGGGAAGCTGCACAAAAACCTAAACCCTAAAACCTAAACCCTAAACCCTAAACCCTAAGCCCTAAGCCCTAAGCCCTAAACCCTGAACCCGAAAAGCTTCACTTATGCTTCAAAACTTTGCGCTCAGGCGATCACCCACCTGTGGCTTGATCGCTATCTGCCCATCCTGCTGCCGCGGCAGCCGCTTGAAGGTTATACTGCACGGTGGCACACCTCAACCCTGGTTAGGATCTCAAAGCACCTCAACCCCGGGGTTTCGAGTTTAGGGAGTTGCGGGTTCAGAGTCGGAACCCTCAACCTAGACCTGCCGTCGTGTGTGCCCATTGCCAATTAGAGGCGTCGGTTGCTGGGTACAAGAATTCATCCAGCACCCTTTCGAACTTGAGGCGTCTAGGGTTTAGGGTTTAGGGTCTAGGGTTTAGGGTTTAAGGTTTTAGGGTTTAGGGGTTGAGAGAGACAAGCTAAGGAAGAAGTACCTCTTGCTCTTTTCGTGCCTTGACATCACAGTGGGCTCGTCCACGGATTGGGCAAAGAGGGTTGCGAAAGGAACTAAACTGGGTCGGCAATGCCGGCTGGGCCCCAGGGTCGGGCTAGTCTGGTAGTCTCAGGGTCTTTTCCGAAAACGGAGAGGCGGGTTAGGGGCTTCAGTTTCGGGGTTTGGGGTAGCTTCTGGATGCTCGGACGCCTAGTCCAGACAGTCTTCATTCCTCTGCCACATTCAAGAGGCCAGTTCACGGATGTGCCCAACGACCGAAGCCACCACGCTGAACAGCAAAACATTGTCGGCCTATAGGGCAACTAGCGCTGTCGACGTCTCCTAACCCCTAAGCCCCTAACCCCCTAAACCCCTAAGCCCCTAAACCCCTAAACCCCTAAACCCCTAAACCCCTAAACCCCTAAACCCCTAAACCCCTAAACCCCTAAACCCCTAAACCCCTAAACCCCTAAACCCCTAAACCCCTAAACCCTAAGCCTTCGTGAGGAACCTGAGCTTCGTTGTCTTCCTCGTGCTCTACAACCCGGACCACGGCGGCACAATGATCATCCTTCTCCTGAGCAGGGCTCCTCAGAGGGTGCGGAGGAGGGTCCTTGGGATTTTGGACTTCCAACGTTCCGGGGGCTTCGCGGAAGTTGCATGTTATCCCTAAACCCTAAATCCTAAACCCTAAACCCTAAACCCTAAACCCTAAATCCCTCCCGGAGCTCGCGCTCAGGTGGAGGCGCTTTGTACGCCGAGACGATGCAGCTCCTGTGCAGTGCCCAGGCCTGCGTGGTTGGATGCACCATGGATCGCTGGCCAAGAGCATTCCTTGGGGGAGGGGGACCAGATGAACCCTAAAAGTAGGATCATAGTCCTTGGGGGGCGACATGAGACGACCTGAGCCCCTAAATTTAGGATCAGATTATTCCTTGGGGTGACCAAACGAACCTAAATTAGGATCACATACCCTCTTTTCCTGCTTCCAATCCCTACTCATTGGCAGGTATATAGACCATCAACCGTGCAGGGTTCGTTACTGAGAGCGACTTTCATTTCTGCTTCCCGAACATGCAACCCGAGGGCTTGTTAGGCATCCCGCCAGACAAGGGCTTGGGGTTTAGGGTTTAGGGTTTAGGGTTTGGGGTTTAGGGTTTGGGTTTAGGCTCTACGGTCGCTTCAACGAAGCGTGGCGAAAGGATGTCCGCCGAAGCATCCGCCTGTGGCTCTTGGACAGGGTTGCCACCTCAGCATGGGGCACCACGCGAGTCAGCGATTGGAATCCTTTCATACGAGCCCAAATCCTATAATGCTGCTTTGGTTACTACTACACAACCCTTACCGGGCTCCTTGATAACCTTCAAAAAAAGTATGGGTTCGGGTAGAGTTTGGCTGCAGCATTCTAAGGCGCAATGCGAATGAATGTCAAGCCTCGGTTGTTGATAGAGATGCACCACGCATCTCTCCGCAACCCCAACATCTCCAGCTAGCACGTCTTCCATGATATGGTCGCTTCGCATGACCATGTTTTCGAGAAGATTCATGTCATCGTTTATGCCGAAGACTTGTTGTCTGCTTTGCTTCTAGTAATGTCGTGTTTTTGGCCTTCGCCAACGCACAAGCCATGACACTTCTCAGCATTCAGAGTCAGGTGTTCATCGTTTCCACCTAAACCCTAAACCCTAAACCCTTAACCCTTCACCCTTAACCCTAAACCCTTAACCCTAAACCCTAAACGTCGATCTCAGGTCAACATTGCGGAGTTCGCGGCGTTTCTGCAGCTCGCGACAAAGTTGGCGTTTCAGGGACTCTCCATCCTCTGCTTCGCCCCAGTGGTTTTGCCGGTTTTGCCCGCACCTTCCCGAATCCTTAGCCCTAAACCCTAAACCCTAAACCCTAAACCCTAAACCCTAAAGCCAAGTCCCAAACAAGATGTGTGAGGCTCATTTCCACCAGCTGCATCTTCCGCTACATTCACGAGGCAGAGGAGACTGAGCCGAGACACGTACAAGCCTTGTGGGCAGCGGCTCGGAATATCTCAGATTCAAGGGGGTTTAGGGTTTAGGGTTTAGGGTTTAGGGTTCAGGGTTTAGGGTTTAGGGTTTGGGGTTTAGGGTTTAGGGTTTAGGGATTAAGGTTTAGGGTTTAGGGTTTAGATGGGCTGAGGGGCTCTTGAGTTTTGGGGTGAGCGCAGTGAGACGGAAGAAGCCCCAAGAGGCGCCTGAAACCCTAGGTAGGCCTCCTTGGGGCACTTCATATGTTCCCTGCTTAGGTTGAAGAGGACTAGGGTTTAGGGTTTAGGGTTTTTGGAACTCTTCAGAGGGTTTTAAGGGCTATCCTAGGCCATCAAAAGGCCCCTGAAGCCCGCGTAGTTCTACCTCGAAGTCGCAAGCCGAGACTGGCGTGTTCCTCATGGGCGGGCAGCACTGAGGGGCCCAAAGCGGTCTAAACACCCCCCCCCCCCCCAAAAAAAAAAAAAAAAAAACTGTGCACCCCAAAAAGGCCTAACTCTGACCCCTATAAGCCCTAAAGAGCCTAACCCTAAGCCCTACAAACTCCAAGGGGCCTAGCTCCAAGCCCTCTCAGCCCTCCAAACTCTCTAAACCCTCTAACAAACCCTAAAAAAAAGGATAGGCTTGCAAAAAACTGCCACCCCGAACTTCGTCTCCAGACCCTAAACCCTAAACCCCAAACCCTATAAACCTTAAACCCCAAAGATCTCAAGGGACCTGGGGAGCAGAGCCAAGAGTTTAGGGGGTTTAGGGGGTTTAGGGGTTTTGGGGGTTTTGGGGGTTTTGGGGGGTTTTGGGGGTTTTGGGGGTTTTGGGGGTTTTGGGGGTTTTGGGGTTTTGGGGGTTTTGGGGGGTTGGGGGGTTTGGGGTTTGGGGGTGGGGGGTTTGGGGGGGGTTTGGGGGGGGTTTGGGGGGGTTTTGGGGGGTTTGGGGGGTTTTAGGGGTTTAGGGGGTTTAGGGGTTTAGGGGGTTGGGGGTTTTGGGGGTGTTTGGGGGGTTTAGGGGGTTTGGGGGTTTGGGGCTGGCTGCTAAGTCTTCTTCCTCAATCTTCGAGCCCTGTCGGCTCTTGTCCAGGATGTCCTCGGTTTACGGACCCCTGGTGTCCATGATGGCACCTTGGACAGGAACTACATCCCCCTTGAGAACTACTCTTTTTGTTTATGTAAAACCCAAGAGGGTATTAAAAGTATCCTCTAAGGGGAGTATAGGGAAGGGTTTTTACGGTTCGACGGATTTAGCCCCTGGCAAGCCAGTGAGCCCAGTTGCGCGTTGGATAATGCTGCCATCCAGTTTCCGAGTGGGGGACTGGGAGCCCAGGGCACGAAGCAACCGGATGAATGCCACCCCTAAACCCTAAACCCTAAACCCACCAGGTGCAGATGATCGTTGACATGATCCGATGGATCGTTCTGCTCTTGCCCATCATCATCAGCAACTTGGCAGAAGCTCACTGCTGTGCAACACAGCACGCTCATGTCAGTTCTTTTTGGCGCCCCCTCCTGAGTTGCGATCCTCAAATTTCGGATCACAGCAGCGCCCAATTTGTCCGCGAGGCTCAGAGCATGCCTTAGGTTGATGCTATATCCCCCTTGGGAATTATTTCGTTGATATAAACCCAAGAGGACATTAAACACATTATTTTTATTAAGGTTCTAAGGAGAGTATAGGATGCCCCCAGTCTCAGTCTCTCATCCTCAGATCACCGCACCCTGAAAGCGGCCAGTGGGCTGGCATGATGGAGTACAGGTGTTTGGTGGGCAGGCTCCGCACTTGCTCTCGGCAGGGGCGGAGGCCCAAAAGGCCACAGAGGCTGCGGGAGAACTGGGTGTGGGGCGACCTCATCCTGAACGATGGAGGCGGCAAGCCCAATACTACAGAGGCCCCCCAAATCCCTTCCCCCTAATACTAAAACCCCCCCTAATTTGAAATATTATTTTCCCCGGACCCCCCCGGCAGCCAGCCCAATACTAAACCTGTTTGAGAATTAGGGGGGGGGGGGGGGTTGAGGGCCTTCGCCCTTGAGTTCTTGAGTTGAGCCATTAGGGTTTCAGGTTTAGGGTTCAGGGTTTAGGGTTTTAGGGTTTCAGGGTTTAGGGTTCAGGATTTAGGGTTTAGGGTGAGGGTTTAGGGTTCAGGGTTTAGGGTTGAGGGTTTAGGTTTAGGGTTCCCTCCCTCCCTCCCTCCCACTTATTTCGCTCAGCGAGCTCTCTGTGAGCTGTCCGCGAGCTCTCTGTGACCTGTCTGTGAGCTGTCTGTAAGCTCACTGTGAGCCTGGCTCTCCACAGCCTACCTCACTGCTTATACGATCTACCGACAGAGCTTCCCTGCCTGGCTGTCTGGCTTAGAGGTTCAGGGACTCGGGCTAAGGGCTAGTTAAGGGTGTTAATTAAGGCAGGGAAGTCTGCCTGTCTGGCTTTTTTTAGGTCGAAAAGCACATCACCAGCCAGCTAAAGGGTGGCCCTGCCTGCCGGGCTTTCTGAACAAAAGCAGTAAGTCTGACTGCCTGTCTCTCACTATGGCTGTCTGCCTGGCCAGGTTTGGGGTTTAGGGTTTGGGGTTCAGGGTTTAGGGGTTAGGGGGGTAGGGTAAGGGGGTAAGGGTGTAGGGTCTAAACCCTAAACCCTAAGCCCTAAACCCTAAACCCTAAACCCTTTGGGCCTGCTCCACGTGCCGTGCAGTGTCGTCGGCGAAGCTCATCCAGGCATCCTGGGATCAGGGTTTATCTTGGGTTTAGGGTTTAGGGCATAGGGTTTAGGGTTTAGGGTTTAGGGTTTAGGGTTGTCTGTCCTGGCGTCTTTCGGCACACGTGGCTTTCTTCGCGATGATGCCCAACTCCTCCTGCCCGATAGGGGCAGGGGCCCCCTCCTAATTAAACCCGAACTCAACCCTAAACCCCCTCAACCCCTAAACCCTTGCCGGCCCCTGCCTGCATGCCTTGCAGGATGCCTGTCTGGCTGTCCACAGTCTCCTGGCCAGGGTTTAGGGTCTAGGGCTGAGGGTTTAGGGTTTTAGGGCTGCCTGGAGCTGTGCTGTCTGGCTGGCCATCTGTTGCAGCAGCTGCACGACTGGGCTGTCTGCCTGCCGGGCGGTTTAGGGTTTAGGGTTGAATAGGGTTTGGGGTTTAGGGTTAAGGGGTTAATTAGGGCCGGACCTCACTTGCTGTCTGGCTTACCAGCTGCTCCAGGAGCTGCGCCACTCGACTGTCTGCCTGGCGGCAACCAACCCTAAACCCTAAACCCTACACCCTACAGAAACCCTGAGGCAGCCTGTGTCAGGGCTGTCTGGCTGCCTGCTCCCACTTCCTGCCATTTTTTTTATTTTGGGGGGGGGGGGGTGTGTGTTGCGGGCAAAGGAACCCTAAACCCTAAACCCTTCACCTTAATTACAGAAACCCTGATGCAGCCTCTGTCGGGGCTGTCTGGCTGGCTGCTGCCACTTCCTGCCAGAGTTTTTTTTTTGGGGGGGGGGTGTTGCGGGGTGTCTGTCTGCACTGCCTGGCTTGCCTCTGCGACTGGGCTGAGGGCTGCACTGGCCATGTGTGCCTGGCCCAGTCAGGTTTAGGGTTTAGGGTTCAGGGTTTCGGGCTTGCCCCAGCCTGCACGGAGTGTCTGTCTGCACTGGCTGGGGTCACTGGTCTTGCTCGCTTGAGCAGTGCTGCATGGGCAGCCTGTTTCTCTCTCTCTCTCTCTCTCTCTCTCTCTCTCTCTCTCTCTCTCTCTCTCTCTCTCTCTCTCTCTCTCTCTCTCTCTCTCTCTCTCTCTCTCTGTGCGCAGACCCGGCAAGGTTTTGGCTCCCTTGCTTGCTTCCGACTGGCTGTCTGGCCATGCTCAGCAGGATGAGCAAGGCTGTCCTGCCAGAGCATTTGTGCAGGAACGGCACTAATTAGTTAACCAACAAATGACTTCGGTGTCTGTCTGCACTGTCTGACGGGTGAGCAAGGTGCCTTTTACAGCTCTGCGGAGTCTGGCGAGGCATCCAAAACTGGCGGACTGTCTGTCTCAGGCTGTGTGGAAACTGGCGGACTGTCTGGCTGTCTAGGGAACCGGCACAGGATCTGGGGCACCAACAGGTTTGCACCCCCGGCAGAAGTGCGGATAATGGCCATCCACATCTGCCGACATCCTGGGGCTTCTGTCTCGCATTTCATGCAGGCCACTATGCAAAAGAACTGCCCACGGCCGCCTGACTCTCTGCCTCTCCCACCCATGCGAGTGTTTGGGGGAAGCACGATCAAGCCTTTGCTTGGTATCTGCACAGTGTCTGCCTGTCGACCATCACCATCTCTCGTGGCCCCTTTTCCAGACTGGCTGTGTCCTTGGCCGGCCTGTCCAGCCTGGCTGCTTGCCTGGCTGCCTGGCTGACCATCTCTCTTGCCCCCTTTTCCAGACTGCCTTTGTCCTTGGCCTGCCTGTCCAGCCTGGCTGCTTGCCTGGCCGCCTGGCTGTCCGTCTGAAGTACTGAAGCGAACACCCATCCTGCCTCTGCTCTGGCTGCGTGTGCGGGCCGAACTGCCTGGACCTGGCTTCCACGTCCAGGCAGTATTCGCTGCCTGGTCTGTGCTCGGGTGCGTCTGGCTTGCTGTCTTGGCCTCTGCCCGGGGCTGGTCAGGCAGGCTGCCCTCCACAAAGCAGCGAAGGAGCCGTCGACTGCCTCCATGAGGTCCAAGTCCGAGGCCTGCAGCAGTGTCTCCATGGCTTGCTCAAGCTCGAAGGACATGGCTGGCACTCTGTACAGGCAGGCAGGGGAGTGTCTGTTTGTCTCGCTCTCGCTCTCTCGCAGTCTGAGCACCTGAGCCGTGCAAGCATGAAGTTGCGGCTGCGTGGTTTCAGGCGTGCAGGCTTCAGGCTTCAGGGTTCGCTGGAAAAAGGTTGCATCTAAAAACAGGCTGAGCTGAGCTGTCCTCCCAGATCTCTGTCTGACCGACCTCGACGAACTTCTGCCAAGCCTCACAGACCTGGCAGTGGCTTTTCATGTCAGGTGCAAAGCTTAAGCAAGACTGGGCACATGTGCTTGCCTGCAGCAGACTTAGTCTTGGCCTTGGCCTTGGCCTTTGTTTTCGCTTTCGCTTTTGGTTCGGACTTTGTTGGGCCTGCCTTGGCCTTGGCTTCCTGTCTGGCAGCGTACTTGAGAATCTTCGCAGGATTGCACATAAAACAGCCCACGACAGAATGCCGGCACTTGGGACATCCATAAAAGTCACCGGGAGGGTCTGGCTTCTTGGGCGGGGGTCAGTGGGGGGTGGGGGTGCGCCGGGGGGCGGGGGCTCGCTGGGGGGCGGCATGGGCGGCTCCGGCTCGGACGGCGGCTTCTTCTCAAGGACCTGCTTCAAGTGCCGTACTCTCAGAAGGTACTGAATCCACCTGTTCAGTCTGTCTGCCTGGCCCCGTGTGTCTTTGTCCAGACATTGCGGAGATTCGCCCAACCATGTTCGCCATTCCTTCTCTGAAGCCGTCTCGCTGTCTCAAGGCAGACCTGGCAGTGCCTGCTTAGGCAGTCCGGCTGTCGCCAAAATGACATGCAGTGTCTGTCTGGCTTGCATGTACATGCTTTCGTTCGGCAGTGTGTCGAAGAAGTTGACAGTCACCTCGGCTTCCTTGCTGGCTCTCTTCACAACAAGCAGAGAATAGTGCTGCGGCTTCAGTGCGTGCACAACAGCCAAGATGAGAGTCGGCTGCTTTCTGTCTGTGAGAGACTTCACCTCGTCCCCAAAGTGGCCTGTTCTCAAGGCGACCTTGAGCAGCAGAACAACCAGGCGGTCTGGCAAGCTGCCTGCAGAGAGCCGGTGGCTAATCTCTCTGACTGCCACAAACACCTGGGAGTCGGTTAGCAACTCTCCGTATTTGTAGGGCTGCAAGTCCTGCTGTCTGGCTTCTTCCTCTCTGCCTACCAAGTCGGGCACGGCGGCGAAGTCCAAGCTGTCTGCGAACACCTTCTCACCCACCTCGGTGGTGAGGTCTGACTGGCTAACCCACTGGTCGCCACTGGCTGACTCAACAAGCACATCCTCCCCAACATGTCGACGGCACAGAACGACTGTGCCCCGACTTGCGGTCCAAGCTGGGCTTTTCTTTGCTGGAAAGCTTCTGCTTCACTGACGGCTTCAGTTTCAGGCTCGGCTTCTGCTTCTTCTTCGTTCTACCACTTTTGGGCACAACAGCGGCAAGGGCAGCTTTGACGGTCTTGCCACCTTGCCTGGCTCGGAAGGTCTCGATAAGGGCTTGCTGGCTCTTTTTGCGGTGGTGCTTGTGTCTTCGACGGACATGTCTTTGCTGGCTGGTGACATCTGCAAGGTCTGCCTCTCGAAGCTTCCTGCGTGCAGCTGGCTCAATCTGTCGGACCAGTACCTGACGAAGTTCTCTTTCTGTCTGGGCCAGAACCTGCGACGTCGGG